CACGTGTAGTATAGAAATTTGTAATAAGATACATAATGCGGTTATAATAAAATATTGTGCGATTATTTTCATATAATTAAAATTAATATTTATTTATTTTTTAGAGAATACGAGGGAAGCGGCGCTTCCAACGCTTCTAATGACGGCACGCCACTGTCTCAATCTACTCCAAACTCTTCATCCATATTCACTGATCATATTGCGCTCAACCTCGCTCGCAATAAAAAAAGATTAAGCCCAATCAAAAAGTAGTGCGTATCGATGGCATACATTAAAACACCAGTCTTCAAACGGTATTGCTGAAGCCATGCTTACATTTCTTTCCTTTCGGTCTGGAGGAGTGTATTGCTATTCGCTTTTACTCCGAAGAGAAGAGTGACAGGAGATAGATCGCAAGGTGACGGAAAAGCTGGCCTTATAGAAGACGGCCCGAAGATACAAAAAGGGAGATAAAATGCCTTCCTAGAGGACTTTTATGGATAGCTGGCCCCTATTTAGGTGTCATCTGCAAGGAGAAAACCCGAAAAACTCCAAGCTGCCAGCCTGTCCAATCGAGGCGGGAACCCACAACCGAATTCCCAGTTTAGGGTCTGGTCACCGCCGCTATGAGCGGAAACATACTTACATTATCAGAACTACATGCTGTAATTTTAGAATACGCTGCTTCTAAACAAGTATCTGATAGTAAAATACTTGATAGCTTTCCTACTTAATGTATATGATAGCGTAATCACAGACCAGTATGCAGCGAGTTATCAGTAACAGTACAAGTATGCAATGCAGTGATTTTTAAAGATTATACTAGTTGCGTTTCACATTATACACTAGTGTAATGCGTTACTTTTCACTAGTGTACAACAGTGGCGTTCAGTGACATTTGATGATAGAGAAGCTATGTTTCTGTAAGAAGCCGACTTAGGGGCAATCAGTTAATTGCGTATCAGGGTCTATTCGTATTCGTTTGTTCGCTAAGCTAGTAAAAACCGCACACTTCTTTAAATGTATTTTTAATAGATTATCTGACGTACTTAATGAATAAACAAGTTCACTATAATTATCTCAGTTATTAGATTCGATAGATTCCCTATGTCCTCTAAATGCCAATTCTTGCTTTGAGAAAAAACATATAACATCTATTAATTTAGATATAATATACCTATTAGCCGTAATTATCTTGTTATAATTTTCAATATTTATTTTATATTGTTTACTAATGTTAAATTCTATTCTACTTTGATTTCCAAATTGTTTTAATTTTACGAAAGAATCGATGTGACATGTACGATTTTCGTGTCTTTTGCCAGCTTTACTCAAATTATTTAAATCGTCAAAGCCATTCGTATTCCACACACTAATTTTATTTGAAAATAGTAGGCAAGACCAACAAAACAATTTTTGCATTTCTATGCATCCACAAAGCCATTTTATGTCTTCATAAATTTTATCGTGAAAATGTCGAACAAATTTTTTTGTTGAGTTATTTATACTTAATTTAGGCATTGGTCTTTCTTTTTTAAAATAATGTTTGTTTTTTCATTATATGGTCTTGAACCAAAACTTTTTAAAATAAATTTTTAATATCGCAATTACATTCTAAATCGCTAGCCACGCTATAAGGATTAAAGTTAAAAATAAAACTATTAAAACTTACATGGTAAAATAAAATGTGTGATGGATATACAATTATATATGCCTGGTACAAAATATTCTTCAATTGTATGAATATATTTTTAAAGAAAATTATAATTAAATAGTTTTGTGAAGAAACGTACATAAAAATAACATAAAATATTGTTTACTCTTTAAATCTTAACCACTTAGGCAAATAGCTCCCTACGAGTGGAATCAGAAACGATCTTGGTAGGTGTGCAGTGCGTGCATGTGTGCCAAATCCCGAGGGTGCCGATACCGGTTAATGTCAAATGCCTGTTTTGTCGCATCACTAGTATATCTCAAAGACACTGCCGGCCCGAGCAAACTCAGCGCCCTAGGCAAATGACTTTGACGTCGCCCCATTTAAAAAAAAAATTCGCAACAATATAAAACACCAATGTAAAATAGAGTATCTAATTTTTATTCAATATGTAGCACGCAATATCGCGATGGTGAGACTACGGCGCTACTTCCAAAATGGCGACTAGCGGGTCAACACGTGAGAAAGGATTGTGATCAAAAAACATTTATTTTTTCATTATTTATTGTAATTTATGCATGTACTTTCGTCATACCGCCCCCGAATTCAAGCGCCCTAGGCCATCGCCTAGTTCGCCTATATGAACGGGCCAGTTCTGCTCAAAGGACGCTACAGGGTTGTTGTAAACTTTAAACGTTTCTCACCATAGCTGTAAAAATTTAAATATGTTAAACTTAATAGTCAATTTGTTTTCTAACTAATTCGTTTTAGGACCAGATGTCTACGGAAATTTCCAAAATTTACAACTTTTCGATCACTCTCATTGAACTGGAAAAATTTCTTTATTACATCTAATATTACAAAGAAATTAAGTCCCCACTGTACTCCCCACTGCACTACCCCACTGCTAGAGATTGGTTCGGTTAAGTTTTTAAGTAATATTCCAACTCTCAGCATGGTTTTATTTATGTCCCTAATTCCCTAATCTCTTAATTATTTAACTACTTCTTAAATAGAAATAAGTTGAAACCGGTTACTTTGTACTCGAATATTTGTAGTATTGGGAAAGAAATAGAAAGACAAATTTTTATGACAACGGATACATAAATCGCAAATGTAAGGAAAGTAAATTCTAGAGCTTTTTCTGTACCTCGTGCATCTCTATCATTCATTAAATTTAGTTGTAAATGATGCTGTCAAAGTAACAGTTAATTTTTAAACGTTTTTTTCTACATCCCCTTATAGATGGGATATACGAAATCGTAATATCACTAGTTTAACATTGAAATCCGTAAGTAATATAAGATGGGAGAGTGGAATAAATATATCAAATATTTTAATGGATTTTTTTAAACTCCTGTCATCTATAAGAACTATCATAAAAACATGCCAGTAAAGTCCTATCGGTTGGGTTAAGTTATAAATCTACTCATGGTTCACATAATCGGGCGAGGGCGGCCAAATATCTAGCAGGCAGGCGGCTAACAGTCCAGAACCGGACCTAGATAGAATCATTGGAAGCGTTATGGTGTGTAGCTTCCACCAACTAAAGAGAGTTGACCCGGCTTCGACAATACAGCGCTTCCATTCCGCCACTGATACTCGAATATACAATAGCAATGTTATAGTTTTTTTTAACATGTAGTATAGAAACTTGTAATAAGATACATAATGCGGTTATAATAAAATATTAATTTTAATTAATTCAAAGTACGTTAAAATATAAAAATAATCACGAAATATATATTTATATTTTAGAAAATACAAGGGAAGAGGCGCTTCCACCGCTTCCAAGGACGGCACACCACTGGTGTATGTGCAATGCGCTTGAAAATCAGAAATACATTATTGATTTCCAAGCGCATTGCACACTAGTTATTGATTAATGTTTATAGAACTGTTATGAATGATAAACGATAATGATTGAACATTATCAGCTGTAAGTCGAAGCTAATGGGAAAAGACAACTTAAAATGCTTAATTGCCAAAATCAAGACCGTAGAGAGTGATCACAGGGCTCGGGTTTGGCCTCTTTCGGACCCCTGCACACCTTCTGGTGTGATGAGTCGAGCTATTCAATTTCTTTTTCCCAACTTTATGTACTTATTTTCTAGATTTTATAATTAAAATTTTATTATACAGATTCTGGCTCTAGTTTCCTATACAGGTCTGGGTTTTAGAGCTATAACCCCGGCTTCTCTCCCTCTCGTCGACTCTGACCAGAAAATAATTACAACCGAAACTTCGATTACAGTATGCAATTTTATAAATGTATTTTAACTTTATGTTTTGGGTTTGATGAAGTTTCGTGTCATAGAATGAGGCAACGCAACACAATCTACCCCAAGAGAACTTTCTATTGGAAACTGGGCCCTATTTAAAAATGAAAACCCGAAAAACTTTACGTGGTAACCCATTGGTGAAGCATGAAGCTGCAACTACCAGGTTTTTGTTTTATAACTTGCACATTCTGATAGTCTAACATTAGTGATTGATATTAATGTTCGTAATTACGATTAAGCGTAGGCTATTCTATTGTCTTTTAGATCACTTGCGTAGCCAAAGTATTGTTAGTGGGAAAGTTATTATTGTAATTTAATAATAAACATTAATTATCGCAATTTCGTCGACAAGAAAACGATGTCATCTAGTCGCCGAAGTGCCGATTCCATAACTCCAACCGATTTTTTAAAGAAGTATGGATATAAAATGGGATCTGTAATTGGTGAAGGATCCTATAGCAAAGTTAGGTAAAGATTTATAAAATGCCGTTTTTTAAATTTACTTTTCATAAAGCTCTATTTCAAATATTAATAAATATATACATTATATATAGAATTGCGCAGCGCAAAGGAAAATATTTAGCCATCAAGATAATATCTAGATATGGAAATTCTTCAGAATATATTCAGCGATTTTTGCCTCGAGAATTGGGAATTATTTCTGAGATTGCACATCCTCATATAATTGAAATAAATCGAATTATTGACTTTGGTCCTGAGGTTTATATTTTCATGGAATTGGCCGAAAATGGCGATTTGCTCGATTATATGAAGGTAAGACCAAATTTCGTATTGATCAATTGATCAAATGATTGATCAATTTATTGAATAAATTCAATAATTTAAATTTGTTAATTTTAGCGACATCTTATAATATCTGAAGAGCGAGCACAAAAATATTTCTTTCATTTAACTCTTGCGGTGGATTATTTGCATAGCAATAACATCAGTCATCGGGATATTAAATGCGAAAATCTTTTAATAATGGCAGATGATACCATCAAATTAACAGACTTTGGTTTTTCAAGAAAATGTTAGTTAAAGTAATGCTGATATATTAATTATATCTATTTAAATTTTTTAATAATTTTAATCATTTTTAAATTAAATTAGATGATTCAAAGGCAGGGAAGAAGCACTTGAGTGAGACTTATTGTGGTAGTGCAGCATACGCTGCTCCAGAAGTTCTTCAAGGTGTACCTTACAATCCGATGATGAACGATGTTTGGAGTATGGGTTGCATTTTGTTTATTATGATTACAGGAACCATGCCTTTTGACGATTCAAATCCTCGAAAAATGATTCAAAATCAGAAAGCAAAGCGCTATCAAAATCCTATGGTCTATAACAAAAATTTAAGTTCAGATTGTATCACTCTGATAAACCAAACATTGGAACCCGATGCGAAAAAAAGGATCACTGCACAAGAGATATTAAATGGTCGATGGCTTTACCAACTTCAAAATTGTTTAAATGAAAAATAAAGTATATGATTTGATTATATAAATAAACAATCGATAGTAAACTTCGTATAAATTATATATATTACAACTAAACTGAATGTCTATTAAGAATATAAGAATATAACGCAATATAACGTTCAATACATATATGCATTTAAATCAACATAAATTTATAAAAGAAAGAATAACTGTGCGTAATCATTTATATAAGATTCGAAATATTTCGTATTTCTCATTTAGTAGAACAATGTTGAGCTTTCGATTGCTACAGATGCTAGCGTATTGCTAAAATCATTAAAGTTTAGTGATTCTAACCCCTGTCCGTTCTGTGGGCACTAAGAGGATCTTCAATGAAACCCATCGTGAGTTCGGGCAGGCCCACAATGTTGCGGCCGGGTAGCGAGGGTGGGGCCCGACATATCCGGAATGGACCACTTCCGAAAATTCCTGGTTTCTCGACCCTTCCGAATTCGTTTCTGGGTCCTCCAGAGCGGCAGGTTGACACCTTAACCACTCGGTCATTAGGCCAAGATCCCGAAAATAAATAAACTTAGTTATCTGGTTATTAAACGGCGCCCACATACCTAAATAGAGACTAGTTTTCCATAGGTTGTCTCGGAAGACATTCTTTTTTGACAGATCGCTCACGTGTTGCGTGTTCCTTATTCCATCAAACAACCAAACGGTTAATAAATACAAAGATCATTTAATAATGTCAGATGATACTATTAAATTAACTTTATTTTATTTAGCGAAGTATACATCATTTGATTGATATTTAACATTCATTCCATGGATCAGAGCCGTAACTAGGATTTTGGACGCCTATAGCCAAGAATNGCTTTGGTAGCATCTTCAATAACTTGTGAAATAATGGATTTGTGCCCTTGACTAGGTTGAACACCCAAATCCCAGTTTCCACAAATAGTGATCATTTTAGAAATTCTTCAAAATTATATAGAAATTTTATATAGAAATTATCTATATAAATATAAAAATTTTTTGTGTTATTAATTTCGAATACATATTATTCGGAAACCTTCTCGTTGGCGCCTTTATTAAATCGGCGCCTATGGCGGGGGCCTCATTGGCCATACCCTAGTTACGGCTCTGCCATGGATTACCTGAACACTGTGTTATGGTCAAAATAAAATAGTTTGCAGCTTTTAGAAGTCATTTGTCCGCTTCACTGCCGGACAATGCGTTATACGTATAACGCATTGTCCGGCAGTGAAGCGGGCGTTAAAGAAGTAAAAAAAATCTACGAATCCAGAATTAGAAATTTAACGTATCGTACAACAGATATTATTATTGAATTTTCGAAAATATTTCATTTAAAATTACAAAATTCGATTATAATAATAAAAATATTTTATTATTATATATTACTACATCTATTTAAATTTTTTAACATCGTGAATTTTTCAGATAATTTATTTATTAAACACTTGCAGATATGAAAATAATTTCAAAATAATATTTTGTTACATGCAAATATTCGTAACATAAAAAAAAAATATGTAAGTTACTATGTGATGTCTATGATTATAAATGGACTGCGTTAAGACTCCCGGGAAATCGATGGTTGTATGCCGATAATGGGTTTATTCGATAAGCTTGCTAATATTTTAGGAATTAAAAGAAAGGAAGCCGATATATTAGTTGTTGGATTAGATAACAGCGGCAAAACAACGATCATTAATCATTTTAAACCGGATGAACAGAAGAGCGTGGATATTGTTCCAACCATTGGATTTAATATCGAGAAATTCAGAGTTAAGAATTTGACATTTACAGCATTTGACATGTCGGGACAAGGAAGATACAGAAATCTATGGGAGCATTATTATCAAAATGCTCAAGGAATCGTATTCGTTGTAGATAGTGCCGACAGTTTGAGAATGGTTGTTGCCAAAGACGAGCTGGAGATGATGTTGCAGCATAAAGACATAAAAGACCGTCCCATACCTGTTTTATTCTTTGCAAATAAAATGGATCTAAGGGAGTCCATGTCCAGTGTCAAAGTCAGTCAGGCACTAGGTCTAGATAATGTCAAGAACAAGCCGTGGCACATTTGTTCCAGTAATGCCATAACCGGAGAAGGATTACAGGAGGGAGTGGAATGGTTGACTGATCAACTGCGTTACATGGTGCAGAATAAACGGTTTTGATAGGCAATCAACACTCTGCTATATTGACTGAATGAATGCAAAGAATATTCCGTCCACACCTGCAAATACTTTGTATCATATTTATCGACAATGAGTTTTAAATACTATGTTTGTTATAAAGAACACATTTTTAATTTTGTAAGAGTAATTAATTGCATGTTCACAGTTGGATTATTTATTACTATTAAGATTTGCACTTTGTAATAATTTTGTAAATAAATATTCTTTTAGAATGAAGGATACTTTTGTCAGAATTGAATAATTAAGTTACATAAACTTATTAACATGAATAATATAGAATACTTTAAATATTAATATTTTGTTTAATATTAACATTTTTATTTTCAACAAGAACTAATTTATAATTTTCTTTTTGTATTTTTACTTTAGAAATAACATTTAAAGATAGAATATTTTCTTCAGTGTGAATTCTTATACATTTGTTTCCTTTATTAAATGCTTATTGATATAGCTTATCACAATAGATTTCAATATTTCAAACAATATTTTAAACTTTACATGAAGATAACTATTATTTAGTAAATTTCAATTCCATTATAAAATTATTTTAACATGAATATTAGAATTCTAATAATAATTAATCACACAAAATATTAGAAAGCTTTATAAGATAAACTTTTTAGGTTACATATAAGAACATAACAATTTGTAACTTGTCATGAATAATCAGTTAAATTTCATAGATAAAAGCAACTCGTTTATAAAACCTAAATTCTCTAATTTACCAGTTGTGATACAAAATAGAATTTTATATTTTCAGATCATAAAAGAATGCAGAATTGTCTTAATACTTAACATAGAAATTATTTAATGTTAGAATAATCGTAAAATTTTATATTTTCTCTTGTTAATAAATCCAATGTTCTGTTTCTGAATAATTACCTTTATCGGTTTAAGATGATTAATAGTTATTTACATATAAAGATGTATAGGAATGACTAAGACAAAACCTTTCTCACTTTGTTTCTAGCTATTTACACACAGCTAGAAACAAAGTGAGAAAGGTTTTGTCTTAGTCAGTTTAAATAATTCTAGCTCCAAATGCATAGAGATGTATAGGAATATTTTCTGATAATATTTGATATAGATTTTTATGTTTTCTTAAATGTAAGTATTTATATTCTCTGATTAGTAGAAAATTTATACTTTACATAATTAAAAATTGTATTGATTTTCTCCTAAAGTGAATTTTATCTTATTTAAGTTAATGACATATTGCATAATAATTGATTTTCTTGTAACTACAAGAGATCTAGATTCAAAAATCAACCTTTTATCATCTACAATGTTTTTTTTTTTTTTAAATCTAAATTCAGATTATAGATTACACAGATGTTCAGATAGATTACACAAAATTCAGATTATAGATTAACGGACCCATTCAGCTCAATAATAACTTTAAGTGTTACCTGGCTCCCAAAGAATAAAAATTTTATCCATTAACTTTGAAGGGGAGGCACCACTTAAAATATTGGGGCCTGAACAGCTTCTGGCCACTGTTTTTTTCAATAAACATTCTCCAGGGGGTTATTTTTCTGATCTAAAGGGTGTGACAAATGCAATTGGTTGGTCAATTTACATATACTAACAATACTCACTTGTGTTCTGTTTTTTTCTTTTTTATGAAACTTTATACAAAGGATGATTTTAACTCTCTGGAGATTATGTAGCTATGGGGATACAAGATGGCTAAGCCCCCTCAGCTTAGTTAGCAGTGCCAATATGTAGTATTTATAAAATATGCTTTCATCATGTAAACCTAGTCTACTGTTATGTTTTTTTTTACATTTGAACTATAGCTAATGGGCCTAGTGCTGGCTGAAAAAGAAAAAAAATGCCAGTTAGAATTTTTCAGCTTACTCCTGCAGTGCTGAACAATTTATTCCAGACTACGGGACTGATGTAAATTATTTTCTACTTCATTAATTAAAACAATTCAAAATATTTAAGTCAGAATTTTATTTCATTTCTCTTCTATTTTAACAGAATATATCTTTGAAAAGACCAGCACACATATCATTTATCATTGCACTTTTAGTATTAAAATTCTGATAAATTCTGTTTTAAATATGTGACACAGTTTACTTAGCAACAAAAATAGTACAGTACCAGCAAATAAATGATATCATTTACAGTAATACTGAAATTAAAATTGTTTGATATTTCATCAAGTAAATGTCTTGATAAATTTTTTAATTTTACATAATGGCTTATTTATTGCTGAATAAATTTAAATAAATATTTATTATGTTAATAATGAGTTCAATGTAACAATGATATCAATTCTTATGCAAAAAATTATTGTTTTTAAATATCAAACTTGAATAATAGGCTGTATTGTATTATACAGAATATTATATTATTCAGTATGGATTTTTTAAAATGTGCTTCAGTTTCACATGATATTTGAATGAGTGTTATAGTAGCCACTATTTCGGCATCTGTCATGGGATTTCATTCTTTACATCATTGTTTCTTGAATTATGTTCTTTGTGGCCTTCTCTTTTGTTTTCTGAGGTGTGTAAAATTTCATACTTTTAATGGTTAAATGATATTTTCTTTTTAAGGCCATTTTGATCTTTCCATTCTTCTGCAAAGTAACAATTACCAGTATATTGTGTCATCATAAATAGATACATCAATAGTAAATACATAGACATATAAAAACTTATATAAACATCCCAAGAACCCAATGTATTAATAATCATCCAACCACCAGTTATTTTTTGGCTGACGGTTGGATGATTATATATAAACTTACTGGTATATAAACATACAGTCTGTATGAAATTTTTTCAAATTTGTCTTTATCAGATTCAGGTATTTTGAGATTTAGGCATGAATTATCTTCCATGCCTTTTCATCATTATAAAGCAAAAAATCTTCGTTCATTGCTAAATACAACATTGACACATTTCTTTATGAAATTCTTAAAAGTTTTTAAACATGATGAAGAGCTAATAAAGTAGCTCAAAAACATTCTTTTAGTAAAAGTTTAAATCTGGCTATTTATTCATTAATATTTATTCATTAATAAATATAACATCTATGATTCTAGGGTCTCCCAGAATTTGGCAAAAATTTTTAAATTCTCAACTTCTGAATCTAACCTATTTCTCCTGTATTTAGTTGACAAACTGATCAACTTCTGGATTATACTGTATATTAAAACAAACTGAAGAATAGGCAAGAGCATTTCGATATTGCCAGAAGTAAAAAATGTCAGATCATTGGAAATTTTTACTCTTGGAATGGAAAACTGGAATCAATTCTTCAAGACTTAGTAAGCTTAATAAAATCCTCCCAGTAACTATCGACATAGAAAGACTTTTATAGATATCAAATATATGTCTCATAATGGGCAGATGTCTAGGAAGGTTTTTAGCATGAATTTTGCTCTAATATGGTTATTACAGTTGAGAATTTGTTTTTCAAACGATCAAATGTTGTAATTTTCTATTAATTTTAGAAAAATTAAAATTCTTTTTTTTTTTTTGAGATATTGTATAATCTATATTTAGGCAGATCATAAAAAGGACAAATTAACTTCTGGCTTAAGATGTTTAAAGAGTTATTCAACTTTGTGTCTTATGATGATGTAATTTACATTATGAAATGACTATATTGATTTTATGTTTGTGTATATATGGCTATATATGCAACTATCATTGACATTTTCTCTTTATAAATACACAAAGCATAAACAGCTGTTACCTATTGATATTTTGCAATGTTTATATTAAAATGCACTATATGAAAATGTAAAAGACAAAAAATTCACGATAAAAAGCATCAGGCATAAACAAAAAATCCAATATGAAAATAGCATTTTCATTACATATTAATGAGATCTGACATTTTAGGAAGATCAATATAACAGTGTTCTAGTAACAGAACAAATAATTACCAGAAGATTTTTATAAATATTTTATTATTATAAAAGTCGACAAAACAAACAAACAATACAAATGCAACACAGTACATAATATGTTGTTTGTCTGCTTGCTAAAGAGATAATAAAAAAAATATTTTTTGTAAGTGTTATTTTTCAGCACACATTTAAACAGCATAGAAACATTTCTGAACATACATCAATGTTTTTACTACAATATTATTTTAATATTATTGTATTAAAAATAAAATAACAACTTATATGTACAGTACAAGAATATATGAACACTCACTGTCACATTTTAATTCTAAATAAATTCACCTAAAATTAATTCTTTATATTATCTCAGAACTGAAATAGAAAACAGCATTAAAATTACAAATTATTGCAGAATACAAGCATAACTATAGCCAAAACGTTTGTGTCTGCTATTGTTATTGATTAGACAATGTATATGTCAAAGGAATTTGTAAATTTGTGAAATTTTCTTGTTTCTGAACTTGGTATAAAATATGTTTTTATATTAAGAAAATAATGCCATTCACTACCAGTTAGTATATCCTATGTATTGGGATGAATCAAACTGTGCATTGACACACAAAAAAATTACAGTATCTAATAAAGTTTCAAAAAGACATATGGTACTTATAAAATTTTAGTTAGATAAATGTAAAATATAGACTACAAAATGAGAAATTCAATAGATTACTTATTCTAACTTCAAAATGGATTCACATATGCATCTGTAGATGATGAAAAATCTATGTATTTCTTTGACTCTTATGGACAAATTGTATTGAACATAAATCAACCATAGCAAAAACAAATATACAAAGTATACTGCATACCATATTCAGATCATATCTAAATAGTAATGGTAGATCATTCTATTTTTAGAATTATGCAATGGATGAAAACCAATTTAGACATTATCCAAAAGAAAATAACAATAATTCTAACAAAATATGTACCATTATCCAAATTGGTATGTACAGTACAAGGGTAATTTTTCAATCTGGAGATTACATAGCTATGGGGTTAAATATAAAACAATCTATCATAAACTAAATATTACATTGATAATAAGCATCATTGTCCAGCTGGAGTTTTAAATGAATTTTAGTAATATTTTTATATTTATTTTGTTTACTAAAAACACTAAATCATTCATTTACTAAAAAAAAAGAGTTTAGCTTTATGATGTATAGGCATAGACAGCATTTATAAATTGCATGAAATAATGTATTTCACTGACAAATTGTCCTTAATATAGAAACTAATTTGTACTATTAGTAATATTGAAGTCAAGGATCATTGGATTAATATACAAATTATTACTGTACAATGCTTACTAACATATCTTCTAGCAGTACCATCCGAATTATACATAACAATATATATGTATAGGCATCAGACATAACTAAAAACACTTACATTATATGAAAAACAGTTTATATCTCTGTAAAAGTTTGATACTTTAACTAATGTCAATATTGATCTGTTATTAGGCAATGCATTTCTTTTCATATATTCTTATCAATAACAAAAAAAATAGATTCATCCACAATAAATTAAATGTAAATTGATTTTTAAATTAATAGAAATATTGAATTGTAATTTTAATATTTCATTTCAATATAATAATTGCTTCTATCTAAATTTTTCAAATTAATTTACATAGAAACATAATGTTAGAAATATAGAGCATTAATATGTTATTGAAAATCATACAAGGATTGACTGATGAATAAAGTCTCCTATGGAGCACTCTGCAAATGTGACCACTCCTATTTAATAGCCTTGAATGTCTAGCCATAATTTAAACATGAACTCATTACCCCATTCCTTACAAAGCAGCAATCAATGATTGAATTTTTAATGTTAGTAAGTTGTTTGTGAAAGGAGAAACTATCAATTATACAAAGCACTTAAACCTTATGGGCATGCAAGATTTTCAGAATAATGCCAAAAAGAACTTTTTTTTTTCTTGCACCACAATAACAATATCTACACTGCAGTAAGGAAACAGCTAAAACTCTGAAGAACATGAAGTAATCTAGCGTCATCAGACCTGTTCTCAAAATTAAAGATGGTATTGATAAGTCAATGCTTTTCACAAGATATATGAAAATGGATAAAGGAAAAACCAGAAAGTTTTTTCACATAAAAAACACAAAAATGGATTTAATGCACAAAAGAAATTTTTTATCACTAATCAGGTGATTATGTTGAAAAATTAATAATTTTTATTTTATTTCTTAATACCAATCACATTATTCTATCTCTTCCCAAACTCCTTTTAAAAAATGGAGGCCTTATTTGACTTCTATCCTGCAGGAACTAAGAGAACCTTTTCATCAATCCCATTATAGGTTTGGCTCAAAGTGGGGCAATCAGATTATGTGGGACAGGCCTGACATATCTAAATAGTCTGCCACATTATTATTATTTGATGTATTTCAAATTAACAGAAAATTTTACCAAAACATTTTAAAGAATTTTTTTCTAGAAAAGATATTATTTTAACCCAATCTAAGAAAATCAGACATATTTGTCTATTACTAGAATAAATAAACTATGTAAAAATGTTTTTTTGTTTAATATGGAGAAAAAAAACCTTTACAAATATCCATTTTTACATAAAATTACCAATAATTCTAAAAGCATATAAGATTAATTTCATCTACATTTATAATTTCATTATTATATTATTTATGATGTTTCAAAATAAATGGCATAACATTATGTTAAATAACTAATGAATAGAATTTGGTTTTGCATATTTAATTTTTTAATTTATGAAATTCAGTTTTCATGATAAGGTTCATATAACTTAATTGACTGTATGACAATTGATTAATTTAACAATAAATAAAACTTTAAAGTCTTAGTGAATAAGAAAAAAAAACTAATTTTTTTTATTCTTGCAAACAAACAATAAATTTCTCTAAAATAGTTGTTAATCACTTCTTATTCCTTCACTTTTTAAAAATTTCTCTTCTACTTGCAAATATTTATGAACTTTAAACATCTAAACTAAATAGCGAGGTTGTGGCCGAAGTTTACAACGCCACCTTCCTGTAAGCCTAGAAGTTTGACAATGGCATTTGGAACGCCAAGCATGATTCTACTGACGTTCTAAATGCCATTGTCAAACTTCTAGGCTTACAGGAAGGTGGCACTGAATGTCTGACATTCACATTTTTGCATTGAAAACTTCAGCCACAACCTTGCTAATATCTTTCGTAGTATTGTAAAGAAGGATGGGAAGACAGTATGCTTTGTGTGGCACTTTTGGTCTACTACAACAAAAAAGGAAAGTTTTTTTTGTCAGGATAGTAAAGGGTACAAGACACCAAATTCTATTTTTCCATGAAAACACTGCTTATTGCTGGAAATTTCTGACAATAATAAGGACTGTATTCTATTGAAGATGACCTTATTGACCTACTGTATTTAAATGCTTAGTTGTACTTAATAACATTGGTAAGTATCCTAATTTTTTTCCAATGGGTATATATTTATTTTATTTAATTAGACATGCTAGGCAGAGCCCATGATGCGGGGTATACAAAAATTTGTTACATGTACATTACACAAAAAAATATCATAATCCATCCATTATTACAGAGAAAATTAACATATACATAAATCAAAACAAAAATTATACAAGTATTATTATAAACATCAAAAATAAATATCTGAAAGCAAAATATCCAAATATAAACATATAACATAATAACAAAAAATCATCATGGGGAGAACTATCCAACCAAAAACATCATTATATAAAGAAAAAGACATTAATTACACCCACCTATAAAAGAAAAAGGATTCAATTATCTTATCCAAAATGTGGATAGTCTCCCAACACTTCTTAGCCACAAGCACACTTTTAAGCCAATGGGTATATATCTTTTTCACTTTTTGTCTAAGTATTCTTAATGTGTATTACATTTTTTTTTGTGAGGGGCTGCAAACTCAAGGGCTGCTCCAAGGCAGCATAAACCCTAATAAGCTATTGATCTTTCAAAATATTGAATTATGTAATAAGTTATTTTGAATTTTAAGATAAATCCATAGAGAGAAATAATCCTTTCCTGATTTAAGAACTATGATTTTATGCACAAATAAAATTTCAAACATCTATACTTTTGTCTATTTTTACAAATTATTAAAGTACAATCATCATCTCAAGATAACATACAGATATGCACATCATAAAAATTGAATGTATAATTCATATGCTCAACATCATTCAGAAAAGAATTTCGTATCTAAATTATAAATACTGTAGTAGATCAGTATAAAACAATTTCAAGACTTTCCACATTTTTAGCTATTCCTTTAGATCATTCAAATACATCATATAAAAATTTACTACTACTGTGGCATAATGCCATATTATTGTATACGCGATAATCATAAGTCTAGTAATAACAATTCTTTCTTGTGTTCTTTGTCTTCTCACTTCTTTGTCTTTCCACTCTTCACTTCCTGTTTGTTGGGGGGGGACATCGACGAGAACGAGGCCAGAGAGGGAGGATTGGCCCTGAGGCAGAGAGGGAGAGAAAAGGGTCACTCTCGAAGTAGACGAGGAAGTGAGCAGACGGGCATCTGGGACAGGATTCATTTTGGAGAGAAAAAGGACAGCGGATGATCGATCCATCGAGAAAAGGACGAAAAAAGTTCAAATCAAGAATCGTTTGCGTCTTCAGGCTGAATTATAGTTTCCCCCTCCCACAGAAAGATATCACATCCGAATATCCTGGGTACCCTTTTTTTTCCTAACTTTTCTATACGTCTTCCTATCTGTGCTTACTATCATCTTTCCATAGTTTAATCTTAGTTCGTAAGGTAGTTATAACCATAATAATTAAGTTAGTAATTGTATTCTATTGTCGCGAACCTTCATTCGATTGTAACACCACGTGCATAAGACTTTTGTCTCCCGTTGTACGCGAGTGAGATCGAGTAGGAATTCTGTGTACTCAATTTCTATTACCCCATAAAATTATAGTGGGCGCTTGTATATAATTTTTGTCCACGAATAAATCCTGTGTCTTCCTGTATTTTTTTTTGTCCATTCAGGGGTTCTTTGCACAATCCATATTTTAACACTACTACTAATTTTATGAGATTATAGTTATAATTTTCTTAAAATTTAAGAAAATTATAAGCAATTTGAATTAATAATACAAATAATAAAATAAACTATTGTACAAATAAGTTACATTCAAAAAAATAATGTTTTAGTGAAGATTAAAAAAACATTACAAGAATCTATAATTACAAGTATTCAAGTGCACTTGTTCAAATATTATGACCTGTTATCAGGAACACCAATAAATGTTTTAACAGAACACTTGTTACAGATTTAGGCAGATATAAACCAAATATTTGTCAGTGTTCCTGATGATGAGTCAAAATCACTTAAAGAATGTACAGTACTTTGTTATTTCTAGATTTTCATAATTTCTTCTTCCATTAAAACATTATTTTTTGTTTTATTTATGGAATTATATACTATTTTCATTCTTTCAAAATTTTAAATTTTAATTAAAAATTTCCATCATTAAAGTTACAACAATGTTATCATTTTTTTTTTACAAAATTAGAACCATATTTACACCATTATCCAATATAATCATATAACACAAATTGATTATATATGTATATTCATTTTAATTGCATAACCTGTTTTCATTTCTTATTCAGTTAATTTAAGATAATTAAATTAAATTGCAACAAATCACAATAATTGTAGTGAGCTCTGAAATAATAACTTCTAAAATCAAATTAATATGTGTTAATATCCAAAATGAGATTAGAATCTTAATACTGCTATTACATTTCCAGTATGCTAAAGTACTTTTTCTTTGAAAAACCAATTCAATAATTGGAAATAATTTTTAATATTATATTTATTTCTTAGTTCAATCATCATATTTTGCCTTCTGTAGAAAAAAATTAAAAATCAGATTCAATGCAGGTACCAAAAGCTCTTCTTATATTGGGCTACTGAATAATACAGAAAATTATATCATTATATAATAATAGTGACACAATATTTAATTATCTAATTCTAAATTATTTTTCCTGCTTGTATTGTAGATATTAATATTCTAAAAACAAAATCCATCATTTATATTGCATTTTTAAATATACATAATTAATCTGTATCAATAATTATGGACTATCCATAAAATATATAATGCAGATTTGTTTGGGTGGGTAAGATACAAGGCAGGGATGTTTACAAAAATGTCACACAATGCTAGGATCTTAACCCTTGGACAATACTCATAAAATGGTTCATTTTAGTTCCTGAAGTGTTGCATACTGAACCATATTGTTTATATGTATAACATACAAAACAATGATATAATCAATAAAATAATGCAATATTTGGTACCACATGCTGTGTATTATTACAATTGAGGAGTTTGATCAAGGATATGTGTTACATAATTTCAGGAGTGGGTTTCTACAATAGTGTTATAAAGTGTTACATAATGTGAACTGGTAGTATGAAAATAGTGTTACATAATGGATTGTTCATAAATTACATATGTACAGAAGTTCTTATTCATGCAAAATATGGATTTATAAATAAATCATCAATTAATATAAATTTTAAGAAAAAATATGTATTACAAGGGGTGAAATGTATGTATATACTGTAACTAAATGGACTGAATAAATAAAAATGAATAATCTTGTAAGATTTGGTATGTATTTCAATTAAATATACAGATTGTTTCACAAATTTTGGCCAGGATTTATACATTAGACTGATGAATTCATATAAATTGCATCCTTCACATACTAACGATTCATCCTTGCTATGGTATATTGCAGCAGCCTGACCAAGATTCATTGAAATCTAATGTACTGTTTCTTGAAATGTCAGAAGTTATTCTATTCAAAAAAATTATTAGCAATGAATTTGCAATAAAAAAAACTTATTCACTAGAATTAATGTAATATTAATGCAACTTATTACAGGAGATTAATAAGAGCAGCATAATTATACCATTATCTTATAGACTATATTATGGTACATATTTTGAAAATTAATTCTAAGTAATGCAAATATTCAGAAAATTAAATAGCTGAAAATTAATTTTCTGCTATATCAGGAAGAGAATTCAAAATTTTAATTTTATTACTGATAAATAGAACAAAATTAAATTATAGAATTATAATATCAAATATTCTGTTTAACACAATATATTTGAAAATTTAAAGAAAAAGTTATGTGAAATATATATATATATATATAGGAAAGTGTCATTTGTTTACTTAGAAAATTTATTGCTGAGTAAATAACCCAAGATTAATAATATCTTAAAAATTCTTAAAACATTAATGTACTTAGAATAGAAACAGTGTGTTAAATAACACAACTTCCAGGAATGGGTCAAAAATCAAAATTTGTTCAGATATAAAGAAACAAAATTTTTTTTAACAATCATCCTGTGTTTTGACATATTTTTTTTCAAATTCAGAAGAAATTTTGAAAAATCAGCTGCTTTCAAGAATCACAAAATTTTTTCTGATTTGTCATGTATGAGTTTTGCTGACTCAAACCATTCCTTCTCTAAAATTTTTTTTACTTTGACTTATTTCATTGTCATTTGAAACCAGATAAAGGAACAGAGAGGGTGGTTGCAGAATAACAGTTTCATATCTTGCCAGATAAACAATGATTCTAACAACTGTATATGCCATTGTTGTGAAGTATCAAATTTTTCTGTTGGGTTGTTTCAAGTGAATTACTTCACATAATTGCCTTAAAATAATAATAAAAGCATGTTTTTGTTGAAAATGAGAAAAACTTTGCTGTTGCACATATTGGTTTAAAATCTTGCTATGCTTCCATGACATTATATCTATGATTTATTCAATTTTTGTGAAAAGTACAGAGTGAGAATAATAATAATAATAAAGTGCATAACTCAAAATGACCATTAAATTTTGTCATTTTGAAAGCAGTTTTAGTTCTTTAAATATCAAATTCAAAAATTCAAACATTTAAATCAAAAAATTATGACAGTAATTCTGAAAAATTACTGATTGCAGCTTGTGTTTATATTATATAAAATATTCTTTTTTTAATATTAAAAATTTGATTTTTAACATATTGCTGTAACACATCCCTAATTCTGTTGAAAACTGTCATTACCTAAAGTAATTTTCTCCTGTATCTCTTTTTCAAAGTCATTTTTATGAAGTTAAAAATTTTGAAAATCATTTCTAAAAAATTTTGAAAATCATTAGAATTGATGTTCCCAATATGTTTATTAAAATATGTGTTTCCTTATCCATTATCAATACAATACTGGAACTTTTCTGGACTTCCTTTTTCTTTTTTATTAGTTTATCTTTTCTACTTAATAATTCTGAATTTGAAATACTAATCTTTCTAATTTACAAAAGACTTTGTCTCAAATCTCTTTTCACTCTGAAATTTACTTAAATTCATTGTCAGTCAGTTTTAATTAAAATTTTTGTCAAATGCTTCATAAATTTGAAAAATTCATTGTATTTTTTAAAAATATTATATACTGTGAAACCTGTCCAAAGCAGAACCTGCCTAAAAGGAAAAAATTCTTCAGAACGGTGTGATTTTCTATGTTAAAAGTGTTAAAAGAAAACCTGCCAAATGAGAGAGAAAAGTATTCGGTATTGTGATTCTGGTTTACACAGGTTTTACCTGTATGTACCGGACTCGCTTAGACAGGTTTCCGTTTTATTAAGGTTTTGTTTCGAACGGGTTTTATTATATGTTTTTTATCAACTCTTCTTAGAAACGGAGCGAAACAGAGATATTACTCTGTTATAGCTACTTTCAAGACAATGAAGTTACAATATTAACAAAGGAAGAAGTGATAAACTCTCATCACCGAGAAGAGGACTATGATGAGAGGCATCAAGTAATAGCATTATGATGCGAGGCATCAAGTAATAGTATTACGATTTAAAATTTAGTTGCTGTTACGCTGAAAAAGTCCTCTNATAATAATAAAATACATATATGGTAAGCTAAATAAATTTAAGAAGCAGATACAGCAGAGGAACAAAAAATTTTATTATGTGATGTGATGTAAATCTACACTTATGCATCATGATCACAACTGAAAACACTGACAAACTGAAGAAGCAACAAATAAACAAAAGCACAAACCCAGCTATAATTTACTGATATTTTCAATTAATCATCACATATAAAAATTAATACTACAATGCAATTTTACATTTGAAAATGATACATTTAAATTTCTTATTGAAACACTTATGCCAAATGACACTTCAAATGCAATATACTGAATGATGAAATTTTTTTTCTTCCTGAAATTCAGAAAACAAATCCAGTTCAGTATGAGATAACTTACTAAACACAAATATAGTCAGAGTTGGTTGACTGCTATATAAACAGTCCAGTTTTATAAACCATTCTTTCTTCAGCAGTATCCTATCTAACTAGACATTAGTTTTTTCGTGCAGTAGCAAATGGTATTGCATTTCAGCAATGACATCTTGCATGTCGATTACATGTCAGGATATAAACAATGTTAAAATGCAAAAGAAGAGACACTTATGCTTTCACCATTTTAGAGATATCACATTGTGTTTCTCTTCTTGTCAAACCTTTGACCCACCTAGATACCAATGAGATGAAAAAAATCCAAATTGTTTTTTTTCACAAATACTACTTGTAAAAGTGGACAAGATGCTGAACAATCACAAATACCAGTATTCGTACTGATGTTTGGTGAGTTATTTCTAAATGGGGTGGTGCAATAAACATTTTCACAAAAACTTAAATTTTCTGATGTATACAGTGACATTGGAAAGTTTGGTAAAGTACAAGGATCCAAGAGGATCATTCCTGGCAGGAATACAGATGATAGGAATTTTCCATTTTATGATTTACCCAAACTTAAGCTCCAAAACTAACTACAGTGATATAATATACTACAACAAAGATTTTTAACTAATATTAATTTCCGATGTTGGTTCGACCTTCATAAGAACACTCTCACAAGATGTGAAGTTATCACAATTAACATCCACATTAATACAATCATGAACTGATGATCTACTTAGACATGAATCCAAATGACACGATTCCTGTTTGATAAGCTGTTCTTGTTGAATAAATTCACATTCCTCAAAGACACCATTACTTTTCTGTGACTCACACATTTCTTCAGTTGATAATGAAGTATTAAACTGTTGAGATTCTTTTTCTGCATTTGAATTTTCATCTTCACTTTCTAATTTTACCCCATTTTGCCTATGTGTACAATGAGGACAAATATAATCTTCAGATTCACTAATATCAGTGACATTCAATCCAACACATAATAAATGAAACCATTCTTCACAACCACCATCACATTGGACCCAATTAACAGCTTCTCCTGAAAAATATACAAATAAATATAATTAAATTCTGATTAAAAAGATACAACATTTTTTAAAAATGAAAAAAAATTCCAGATTTTCTAATATATTTCAAACTATTTAAGCAATAAACTGTGGAGGAAATTTCACAAAATACAGTGAGTCCTTCATATGATAAAGCAATTGTTCATCATCCCATTATTCATTGTTTTGTTAATCTGTCATTGACGAAATTCAGTGGATCTGACAATACAGACTAGTTATTATAAGTCAATAACAAATTAACTAAGTATATTTGTTAACTATCAATAAACAGCATAGATACATTTACCAAGATATGAAGTATAAAGATTTTGTAAGGTACACTGTGCTATTATCATCATCAATAATAAGGACTTACTGTATATTATTTTTACAATTTTATTTAAATGTACTTGAACAAAATTAGAAATCACTAAATATCATTAAACATCAGTAACAGTACAATATCTATTGTAATTTGAGTTTAATAAGAAAACTTCAATGAGAAATCAAACAAAAACTAATATAGAAGTCAACAAATTACTTATGAAAGTTTTGAAGTTTGTGATTAATTTAAAAATTAATGATTTATAAAATTTATAAATTAATGAAATAGTATCAGGCTATATTTATTTATTTTGAATAAATATAAGATTTCATTTCTCAACTTTACATTAAAATTAATAAACAACAATTTATATTTTCTCTGTAAGAAACTGTAGAACTTTTTATAGTTTGGAAAAAAAATTATAACAAATATAATTTTTGAAAATTTCAAGGATGAAATATAGCATTTAAATAATTTATTTTAGATTACATTTGTAATATAAATTTTTAAATTTCTGTTTGTTTTTAATTAAGAAATAAAAAACATCTAGCACAAGTATTTATATTTATATAATGTATATAAAATATATAAATGTATAAAAATAATACAAGTTTTGAAAACATTCATTATGAAAACAATCTACTAAAAAGGTTAAAAGTAAATATAGTACAATAATTTATAAAAATTTTGTTACACAAAATAATAAATGTAGTAATATATTTATGTAACAGACATTAATGAAAATATAAAATCTTAAGAAATAGTTAAGATTTCATAACAACATTAAGAGTAAAAATGAGCTAACTTAAAAATCTAAGTTTGAAATGCAAAGTATGAAAATATTTAAATATAATGAAAGTAAGGTAAATCTTGATGTATAAGGTCAAAAATAAAATAAAATGACATCTATTTATATTAAGAAAATTTCACAGAAAACTGAAGTAATATATTCACAATCAAAATTCAGGCATTGCATTATCACTATGAATCATTCATATCAATGCCTTGTAAAAAAGTTAAATTCACTTCAAATTTTTCATTTCACTCAAAAGAATCATACAAAACCTAACAGGCCAAAAAGAATCCTACAAAAGACCAAATATACAATTTTCTAATTTTTACTGCTTACTCATGCATCACACTAAATTTATACTCATTTCCAAGATAACAGTATACTCACAGAACAACAGAAAGGTTGCCGAAGAAATTCATAGAGTTGTAAGCAACAACTCCTGACCGACTCAATGGTTCTCCGGCAGGCCTACAGAAGACATACAGAAGACATTTACACAACACACATTGACTTAATACATAAAAAAAAAATAAAGAAAGAAAAAAAAAAAGCATCATTCATCAGTGAAATCACAAATGATTAATAATCTGCTAATACTCTATTATACTATGATCAACTCTCATTAAAATATTAGAATACAGCAAATACTTAAAAACATTTGACTACACAAAACAAATAGATTTTGTACTAAATATTTACTTTAAGGCTTTTTTTATAATTCAATTCAATTAAAAATAACTGAAAAAAATCTAATAAATATGACCATTTAAAAACAAATTTTCAGATGAAAAAAAGTCACTTATAACTAACCAAATTATTTGTATTGACCAATCAGTTAAGCAGAATATTTAGCATAATATTTAATTACTCAAGCAAGGAATCATGAATTCCAACAAGAATATAAATAATTTTCATCCCTTGTTGGACTCAAAGTAAACAGCAAGAACAATAAAACTCAATATCAAAGCAGTGTTCCTGTTGCATAATACAAAATTCAAAAAAGTTTTAAAATTAATTTAACTTTTTTTTTTAACTAATTAGAATTTAATACTGGGTAATATTTCTGACAAATAATTTGTCGACATTATAAATATATTCATCTACACTACATTGTGTTTAAGAAAAAAGTAGTAATTGTAACTAGATAATAATGTTCACTATTACTTAAATAAATATCATATCCTCATAGTTTTATATTTATAGCAAACAGTGATTAAATATTTATACAAACAGAGAAGAAAGATTTAAAGTAATGCAAATAAAAATATATACAATGAAATTATAAAATGCTATAGTTAAGCACAACTATAAATAAGGTTTTTTTTTCAAAGAATTATTAAAGTACACAAAGTATTTTCACTCATATCAAGTCTTTAGTTTGAATGAAATTCTACAATTCAAAATCTTAATACAATGAAATCTTGGCATGTAAATATCCCATTTTGTATTTTAGGAATTTGAATAACACCAAGCTGTACATTAACCTATTTATGACCAATGGTTTGTATATAAACCATTTTTAAAATGGACCTATTATAGCAATATTTTACATTTTTACTTATGATTTTTTTAAGTATGTTGAATTAAAAAGGCTTATAATAATGCCCATTTACTTCTTAAATTAATTAATAATAAGCAAAAATTTACAGAAATTTTTAAAATGCTAATCTTTAATTAATAGCTTTTACAACTTATAAAATGAAATTGACAAAAAAAAATTATATATGCTTTGTAAAAGTTTATCTGAAAAAAAAAATATTGTCAAAACTGTTGAATGTTTCATTAATTACAAAATTTACATTTATGTAAAATATTTATTAAATTTACATCATCATATTGCAGGCTGAGAACCATTTTGTTCAATCTCTACTTTTTGAAGTTTTTGAAAAATTGAGTTTGAAAGTTTAACAGGAGTATGAAGACAATCAGCAACATGAATTATTCTTGCACTAGCAGCATCAATAGTAGAGAGGAATCAAAATGAACTCAAGTGAAGCTAGAGATTGGAAAATGGAACAATATAGTATTAAAATCTCAAAATATACAAAAATTGAGAGAGAACAAAATGGTAAGTGATACTATTATAAATTAAAAATTTATATAATTTATTTTAGCATTTAAAGAAGTTTTACTTTATATAAAAAAAACTTTTTTTATAAAGACAAATATGAAAACATAAAACACTCCTTTAATAAATTCATCTTAACACTCTATTACTTGAAACAATCTTTTTAAGATCAAAACTAAAGAAGGTTTACTTCAAAAATCAAATTTAGAGATTAAACATTCATTTCTGATACAATGAAATAATTTAAAATTAAATTTACATTAACATAAAATAACACTATCAGCAAGTTATCAAAAGTCAATCAATTCACTGAAATTGCTTTTGAATACATTGAAACCACTAGCATTTGCTAAATATAAAAAGAATTTTTTCTACAAAATTATACAGTTATATTGATAATACAATAATAAATTTGAAGAGAAAAAATATAAAAATAATTTTATTAAAGATAGCAATAACAATGTAATCAGGGAATTACATAGCTAAAAACTAAATTATTGTTTACATCAACTTTAGCACTTATTCCATCCTGTGTATGTAAGTGGCAAAATTGATATATGAGGCTCAATTATTTTTGCTATCTGGACAACTGATAAACTTCACACATATATACTTTTAGCTTCNTCCCGTAACCGTTTGATAACGGACACTAGAGGCGCCCCTATCGTGTGTCATATTTCAAACATTCAAATTAACAATTTTAATTCTTATTTAAATTAACAATATAAATTTTTATTATTCATTTGGCCAATAAATTATTATTTGGTCAATATAACAATATAAATAATTCAGTATATTTGTAATAGGAATTTATTATTTCAGGGGCTTATATCTCTTGAAGGGTCGCGAGTAGGGGTATGGTTCCTTTGACTTTATTGTTAGTACAGGGGTCTACGGTTTGGGGGGGGTCGCCACCTCTTCATTCGGAGGGTAAATCTTACCATTCGGACTTTAACAGAGCTGTAGAGCATATTGATAGGAACAAAAAAAGTCAAAGGAACCATGCCTCATGGAAATTTGTAAAGAACGCCCACTAGGGGGCATCCCAAGCTACTAGTAAGTTTATAAAAGAATGATATTTGATACCAGATTTTTAGATACAAATTATTACTACTACTCATTCCCTAACATTTAAGATTTCAAGATTTTAAGATTTTTAATTCATCAAACTGATGTAACATTTAATTTTCCATACAAATACTGCTTTGTCTTCCTACATCATATTTTGAATATTCATGCTAAATTTAACAATTGTGGGTTCTCATCCATCAAAAATATTCAGTAAAAGAATAATAATTAATGACCATAAATTGATATAACATTCTAACGTTTCATTCCACTAACTAATCAAAGAGTATCTTTTAATTTTACATAAATTATTCTTAAACAATGACAGAAAAATGATTTTTAATGAGAACAATGCTAACACATTACCAAATACAGTAGAGCGTCGTTTATCCGAAAATCAGTTATCCGAAAGAATTCCAGTCAGCAAATTTAAATTTTCGCTAGTGCTGTGACGCTGCAATCTTTGGCTATATCTTGAGCTACTCCAATATTTTTTTTGTTGATGTGTGTGTTTTAGCTGGCAGCACTGGCACTTTTGTGTGGTGTTTTTCTGAGGACTGTGTGTTGTGCTGAATCGAACGTTTTTGATACTAGATTAACTTCTAAAGTATAAATTTTTTTTGTTTTTATATTTTTCAATATATTTATTTTGTTTGTAAAAAAATAAAGAAATAATTTTTAACAATACGATAACCATGATTATTATTTAAAAAAGTTTACCTTAGGCTTAACATCGACGAAAATTCAATGCAAAGCAACACACGCAATGGAGAAAAATTTCAACATGGGATAGGTTAATATATTTTTTCATACATAATCGGTTATCCGAACAACCCCAGTCCCCAATTGATTCGGATAAACGATGCTCTACTGTAATCATATACATCATCAGCTAATGGTCTGCTAACATATTTGGTGAGAAATACCAAATATGCCAGTAGACATTTAAATAATTGTTAAAAAAGAAAAAAAGAAACAACAATTTAATTCAAAGCTGAATGATAACCATCATTAAATAATAAAGAAAAATAATTTTTCTATAGCTTAAAACAAGGCTAACTTTTAATGTTTTGTTTTGACTGAGAAATACTTAACTGTAATCTTAAATATACTGGCCAAATTAAAAATAAAACACCAAGAAATACAGTTAACTCATCCTATAAAAACCTTTAAGGAACCTATCAAAAATAAACCTTTATCAAATAATTGTTACATTGTATTTTCTGATTAGAATAGATTATGTCATACAACTTCATGTCAACATAAGAAAAATACTCTGAAACTTTGAGTGTACAAATCACATGTGCAAAACACACATTTGTTTAATGGTAAAGGTTCTAATATGACTGAATATAGAAGGGGTTTCTTGATTCTGAAAATTATCTCTATTTTAATAAGGATTTAAAATTATACAGGTACACATAAGGGACACAGAGAAATAATATATAATATATTTTATTATGCCTACATTATATTAATATATTATACACTTTCTTTCACAGAAATCTGGATAAATAGAACAACTATATTAAGTAAAGTTATGAACAGAAAAGAAAAATTTTGTGATGCTGCTTTTCCATTCCATTCCACACATATGTTGGCATCCACCATTGAAAGGGTTGGTGAAAAGGCTTAATCAACAGCAATTCTTGAATGCCATTCCTCTACAATCCCTGGTATTATGATACAATCGTATATAATAGCAAATCAAGTTTACTTCAGTGATTCACTGAATACCCACAGATATGTGGAATGTGTGGTAAACTCAGTGTTCATACTCTTTTAAACCCATTAATAAAAAATTGAGTTTTTCAAAAGGATAAAACCTACCTATAAATATTGTAGATATATCATGGAATGCTATTAAAGAAATTGAGATAATGCACTGCCAGATAAATCCTTAGATCTGTTCTCTATTGAAAACATCCACAATATGATGAAACATTGCATTAATTCAAGTCCTGAATTGCAGCAAATCTGGATATTTTCTTAAAGAAAACATTTAGACAACTTTTCAACTCAATACTAAATTGCATTGAAGTCAAAGGTGGTCACACTAGTAATTTCAGTGAATATTTTTAAGGAAACTAATTTTTCTCATATTGTCAGCCTAATCATTTTACTAGTATACATTACTCTTTATTTAGGCAAAGTTTCATTAAGCTGAGACAAATAGATTTTGATTTAGACCAATGCACACTGTACAATGTCTTGCATAAAAAAGAAAAAATTTTATTAAAGAACTAACACATCTATTCAAGTTTGCTTCTAGATACACACAGTTAAATAACAATATAGTGACTGTCTACAGACACACGTGGACAACAATGTACTATCAATCCAACGGCAACCTAAGCATACAAATAAATTTAATGATTACATGTGGTCTTTATATTTAATATTTCCAACCAAATATAAAGAAATCAATTTTGTAGGGTCTATAAGTTAAAAATAAGAGTAACATCTTAATAGAACAAACTAGTGAGTTTTAATAAAATAATAAACAAACAATTTTGAATATTTACATTAATTTATCAAGAATAGTTTAATAATAATAAACTTTACCTGTAGGACGTAGACATCTCGTTGCTGAACAAAAGTCATCTCCAGCATCATCACCATTATTTTCTCTTCTTCCCTTTTTTGAGCTAGTTATTTTAGCCCTACTTGTTAAACTACTTTTTTTAATCTTTGGTTTTTCAAGCAATTTTTGCTTGGTCCTATTAATTTTTGGTCCATCTTTTTTGATAGTTACACCATTTTCTTTTTTTTCTTTTAAGTCGTTAGGTTCATTTTTAATTTTTAATTGTTTTTTTACTGAGTTTTTAATCTCATGTTCAGCATTATTATTCCCCATATTTACACTATTATTTGATCTTGTATTGTTTGTATGTGCTGTACAATTCCCCGTTTTCTCATCATTGAATTTATTAATTTTCATTCGTTTCTTCCTTGGTTTACCATTTTCTTTAATACTGGATAATTTAGATTTAGTTTGAAACTGAAAAATAAAATATTAATATTTGAAAACTGATTAGTATTTATATATAAATTTACATGAGTATACAGTGCACTTTTGCTTATCCAAACTCTACTTAATTTAAGCATTTCACATCAAATGTTCCAGCAAAAAAACAAAAAAACCAAAGATTACTTATTTATTTATTTATTATAAAACAGTAATATAAGTCAATGTACCAAAAAAGGTTTTTAAAACTATGTTTATCTGTAGCCCTTTTTTACACTTTTATTTCTATATAAATCCACTAATCTAAAAACCTCTACAGTAATCAGTTCAGCTAAGTGAACGTGCACTGTATTTATTACATTTTTATAATTTATTTAATTAATTAACAAATATGTCTTTATTATATATTCTTTAGAATAACATAAGAATCAAGACAAACAAAAATAATACTGGATAGATGTATTATACTTTACCCTAAAAGAATAAAGCTGAAAATTACTCTCACAATAACTCAGAAAAACTATTCTTTATTAGATACAAAACATTTATTTTTTTAATTGGCCACTTAATCTTTTAATTAATTTGAATTAATTCATAAATACCGTAAAACCTGTGTAAACCAGAAATTGCATAATACCAAATTTTTTTCCAATTTGACAAGTTTCCATTTTAAACAGATTCTTTTTTAACACAAAATCATCCTGTTTCAAAAAATTTTTCCATTTAGGCACATTTCTGCTTTATTCAGGTTCCATTTTGGACAGATTTTACTGTATAAATTTTTCATAAAAATCATACAATAAAGTACAATTTTAGATTAAAGCATTGCAGAGTGATTTGAGCAATAAATAAAAACAGGCAAGACTGGAACAAAAATTGAAGTTAATAAGAATGATTTACAACTTGCATGTTAATTGTAGCTAAAATTAGAATCATCATCAAAATAAAAGTAATGTAAGTAGAGCAAATATAGTATTAAAATCATAAAATTTCAATAAATGAAAGTAAATATCATTTATGTACCTCATAAAGAGAGATGTTCCAGAATATTACGAAAAAAAAACTTAGATCAGATAAGTTGGCATTTGACTATAAATATTACATAATGTAGATTCAAAGAACACTTGTGAAGGAATAGGTTCAATAATTATTTCAATGATCACTTTTTCAGCAATTCAGATTCAACAATTTGAATGGCTCCATCAAGTGTGTTTATATGAGTGATGTCACAAATAACATTCAAAATACAACACTGAATGCTGTTGAATGACTTAAGTTGAATGTAGATGATATTTTAACAAAACAAAACTAATATAATATATTCATTTCAATAGATTATAAATTTTTTTTTTAAACAGTTTACATTTTTCATTATAGAAATACAACTGTCGTAAATAATCAGGCTAATAAGCTAGATTATTTACAGCAGTTGTGGGTGTCTATTTGCTATGCATTGGGTTTCAGTTGGTGTTTATATTTGTATATTTATGCCTTGCCAGGTATGTGATGGCAGACAGAGTGCCTTGAGTGGATGTTTCTGGGTGCAATTGCATCTCCAGTCAGCACCATAATAACCGATGATGGTTATATCTTAAACTTATATATACTGGAAGAGGAGATTGAACTGGAGATTCAGGTAGTGTAAATGGTAATGAGTCTGCACGGTAAGCAGGAGCTGTGGGTTCGAGTCTCGCTTCAGGCCAATTATTTTCTTCCAGTTTAATCTAAATTATTTATAATAATTATTAATTTTAATATGAGATGGCACCTAACACCTCCCTCTAGTGTCAAATTCATTGGTAATTATTAATTAATATTTCCAAATTATAGCCCAATTATTTATGGCAGTTGTGGGTGTCTATCTTCATTATAGATTTCATAAAAACTAGCATTCAGTAAGTTTAATTAACAATAAATATTTAAAATAAATTTTTTTTATAATGTAAATGTGTTGGAAGCTATATTATTAGATGATACTGTATTAACCTGTAATTACATGCAGTTTTTATATATTTTTTTTACAGGATCACATGCAATTTTCCACTAATTTTTCACATGTAATTGCTATTCCTCAAATTTGATAATTCTGAAAAATTCTGTACTGTTGTCTTTTCTGTATATGCAAAATTTCAATGTTATACATTGTTCAGTTGTTTATGATATATTGTTTTGTTTATGGATCAATGTCCTTGACTGGACTCCCAATGGGAGCCCTTCAAACTTTATGATAATATGAGCTAATATGAATGAATTAAGCTGGAAATAAATGATAGGAAGGTTGAAGTGTTCCTCAGAAAGACCAAAAAATTATTTTTCTGTTCTTTTTTTTTTTTTAAAACACAAAATGAACTTGTGAAAACATTTAAATTGTTGACAATCATATTAACCTAGGCTACTTTATGGAGAAAGCATTCAAGATAGTAGCAACTTGCAGACCCCACCCACCCACACACACCCCTATTGTGTCATGCAAAGCTGACACATCTATGAGTCATGCCTACCTCTTGTCACTATTGCGAGAGATCATGACAACAGATTACCAAAAATAATAGTGTGGAAAATCCCCACGTTACACATGCAGTCATGTGACAACGGAAAAACTCTGTGCAATCACATGCAAAAGGTAGTGATTTTCTGCAGCAGTTTTATGAGACCTGTGATTAGTGATAAAAAAATATTTTAATCAAATTTTTAGCCAGATAGATAACTTGTAGCAGGAGGATATCATGGAAGTACAACTGAGCAACTCAATTTGATGAAAAATGCTCACAAAAATTAGTAGGTACAGAAAATTGCCACTATCACACGTGATCATGGATTAATAACATAATTGTTCAGGTGACAGCCAGTTTCAGAATTTGTTGCCACAAACAAGTTACACCAATTCTCAAGAATCCAAAACTTGTCTTTAGACACACAGCTATTAAATTCAAAAATTAGTGATTGCTACTTTTTAATTTTCACAAAATATTAAGCCAATAAAATATCTAACTGTTCAAGTTTATTAAATAATTTTAGATAAATTTTAATTTTTAATTTGTCAATAAATTTTTTTNTATATATATATATATAAATGGACATGTATGTCCCTATATTTCACTTTTCCGCCAAAACTACACATCGCACGTGAATGGTGTTTGTATGTGGTAGTAGCCCCAAGTCTCCATTCGTGCACCAGGGGGTTGCGTCTCGATAGCTATAAGGATGCGGGAGATATGGGGCTGAAAGTGGTTGAAAGTGGCTTTCTATTTTGAATGTTTTGTTCGAATTAAATTCTAACATAAAATTCGAATATTGGTTCGATTATAGAACGATTGTAAACGTTTCAGAAACGTTGAAAATAGTTCGTTTGACTTGACGTGAACAAGAGACGTTCAGAAATAAAATCGGGACCAGGTCTCTAATTAGTCTGGAAACGGGGGACCTAATTCTTGCATTCTGTGAAAACGGGTAAGATTGGCTATAATGTAATTATCTTAATCTTCACTATCGTTACTTTTTAAAAACTGAGCAAAGCGGGTCCTTGCAGCTAGATTCTAGATTACTTAGAAAAACAGTCTTTTATATATACAAAAAACTATATTACATACAAATGTACGAACAAATTAAAACCCAGCAAAGTGGGTCCTTGCAGCTAGTTTTGCATAAAAATAAACACTCAGTTTTTCTGCCAGGATCTATTCTAAGAATTCAGTGATGTTACAGAAATTTTGGGTATTAAAAATTTGCAGAAAAATTGGGTGTTATACATCAGGCTTAAAGTTAACAAAACTGCCACACCCACTTAAACATTTAATTGCATTTTCACTTACCACTTTAGTTATAATTTAGTATACTAATCTTTTTTTCTTCAAACATTGTCATTTAGATTGAACTTTCTTAAAATTTTATTAACTTTTCATAAAAATATATTTTCATTCTCAATTCTCAAATATGTTAGTTAATAATATAATTATCATCAGCAGAAATTGTTTACCATGAAACCAATCTTTGCATAATTCACATTGCAACATATTGTTAGTAAGTCCTTTATGACAAATACAGTAACGAGAATCACCAACATCCTCAGCACGCTTCCTCAAATTTTTTATTCTTAGTTGATGCATAGCTTCTTTTTCTAATTTCTCTGCCTGTTTGAATCCAGCTACCTGAAAGTTCATTTAATAAAATAAGAGTTTAAACAATTTCTCATTTCATTTATGTAAAATGTTTCCTACAATTGCAGCTGGATTTTTTATTTCTTCTAATTTTACATCCAAATTCTGTATTTGTTCATTTTCTTTATCAGATGTATCTTTACCTCTTTTTCTCTTATTTTTTAATGTAGGATATATTAATAATCATAATTAGACTTAAATAACTTACTTTCATTTTCTCAATTCCTTTACAATCTTCAAGCTTCCTTTTCTTAAATTTCTTTTTATGTGTTTGATTGGATGAGTCAGTTTCCTAGAAACAAATAGATTCAATTAAATTAAAAAAAAAACAGCAATTAAAATGAATCTAAAAACATTAAACTTAAATATCCTACTTCAGGTTCAGAAAATGGATCTAAGGATGTTAATGGATCTCTATTAAGTCTAGTTGCTTGAAGAATTCGCCAAATATGTTGTGTTTCATCTAGAGATACTTCTAATAAATCACCTTCCATCATCAATTCTTCTAACTGAGCTTTTGCTACATCAGATAATTGTAAAACTGGACTTTCTAACTGTCTAGGTATTAATGGAGATTTTCTTGCATGCTTTCTTGGAGTAACTCCTGTTAAAATGCATGTAAATTATTAGTATTATGAACTAAAAGAGAAACTAAATAAAGTTTTAGATAAAAAAAAATAAGGTCACATCAAACTGTGTGTTAAATTAAAACTTAATAAAAGTTATACCATAAAATTTTCAACATCTTAATTGATTAACTAACTACCTGTTGTTGATTTTGATGCTGAAGAATAAGCATGTTCCAAATTATAATTTAATGGGATCTCTGAATCATCATGCCCATTAGCAATATTAGTAATATCATTTCCATTTTCAACAGTTGTTTCAACATCCATAATTAAGGCTGGTTCACTCTATAGAAATTAGCAAACACATATTTTAAACATTGAGATGTTTTATATATATATAATATATATATTTTGAGAACATTTTGTATTTTACTAACGAAAAAATCACTCAAAATTAGACCTAAACATGTCCTTTGAGAAATGTATAGTTTTATTTTTCAAAGTTATCTAAATTAAATTATGCATTGCTAATGAAATCCCTTTAAGCAATACTGATTTACAAAACAAATATATTATAAAAGCTGAAGATCATTTAATGGAATATAGCAAATATTAGTCAAAAACATTTCAACTAAAAATAAGCAGCTACTATACATCTTTATCACAACACTGGAGAATAGTACTACAACTCTTTCTAACCTGTTACCGGTGCGTTCTCCTTCCTTACTAACTCATAACTGAAACAAACATTTTTGAACTCCAGGAACGTTTCTTCTTCGGGTATTTTTTTTTTGAATTTCTGATAAAAATGCAGCTTGTAAAAAACTTCAAATTCGAAATACGTATGTTCGAATGCTCGTTTCCCATTTCCGTCGTTGTTTGTCATGTGCAGTCTATTCCAAAACAGCTATCATAAATTACCATTCATAAACGCTAGCCACGCTGTTGATAACGTAATCTCTTCTTTATACTTACCTAACCTTAAGGATAATCAATGCATCAATTATAAAGAAGAGATTACGTTATCAACAGCATGGCTAGCATTTATGAATGGTAATTTATGATAGCCGTTTTGGAATCGACTGCGCATGACAAACATCGACGGAAACGGGAAACGAGCATTCGAACATACGTATTTCGAATTTGAAGTTTTTTTACGAGCTGCATTTCCATCAGAAATTAAAAAAAAAAAAAAAAAAAAAAAAAAAAAGAACCGTTCCTGGAGTTAGAAAACGTTTGTTTCAGTCAGTTACGAGTTAGTAAGGAAGGAGAACGCACCAGTAACAGGTTAGAAAGAGTTGTAGTAATAAGCAGCTACTTTATTATTATTATTATTGATCTAATCTGGAATTTAAAAATTTAGAAAAAATTATACCTAAATACAAAAAGTTAGTATCCTTGCTTCTCATAAAAATATTGCAATTTTATAAAGTATTCAAATATCTCTAATACCCCAAATACTTAGTATACTTTATTAACTAAATGTTATAGGTATTTATTTCAAATATTTTTAATTTTTGAGTTAGTCTCCCCTTATAGATACTTCTGGATCAGCAGCTGTAATTGTACATACAACATAATATTGGAGGTATTAATAGTATTCACATTTATTTTTTTATTAAAGTAATATTTGAGTATTTGTAGATATTTGACCACCTCTAATATAAAGTGTTTTTACTGATGGTATTTTTGAACTATGTATTTGGCTATTTCTGACTCCAATCAAATGTAATTTTCACTCCACATATGAATAAATGTTGTTATTATTAATTATTATTGTAAATTGTAATGAAATTGAATACTGTGACTATCTTCTTATTTGAAATCCATAAACTACAGATTCTTGAAATTGATATAAATTTCAAAAATATAATTTTAAGGAATTTACTAAACAAGAATACTTCCCTAAGTATGTTTGTATTAAAAAGTTATAATTTAAAATGTAAAATCATTATAGGATTTGTTATTAATGAAATAATTTTAGAATTAATTTTCAAAATTTCAACGTACAGATGGTACTTCTTGTTCAGTTGCTACAGGTGGTACTTCACTTTCAGGAATATTTCCTAATGAATTACCAATATCTAAAAAAAAAGTTATTAAATGTCAATCTTAGAAAAAAATATATTCTGAAAAAATAGAAATTTCATTCTTTTCAAAAAAATCCTCATAGTGACAACCAAGACATTCAATAATTCATTAACTCAGAAGAATAATTATAAATTCTCCTATTATTATTATTATTATTATATAATAATGATAATTTATTTAACATATTTAATTTTGAATAAATTTATATTAACTCTTTCATATTTTAGTTTATTTCAATTTTATTATATAACTAATATACTGATAAAATATTAAACTCTTCTCTAATGTAGTATTAGNGATTAGAAATTAATTAATACAATTGAATCTTTTTAATTTGAACATAAGGATAATTCATAAAAAATTTGAATATCTAATCAAACTTTTTTGATATTCAAATATTTTTGAAAGTTAAACTTGTTTTCTGCAAGTTTCTAGCATTCATTACTACTTCATTCTCTGATAGTGAAATGAGTAAATTATTGTAATCTCCATATTGGAAAAAAGGGACAAATAAAAAAAAATAAAATTAGACAAAAAACTATTTGAAAATTTGGTTTTATTCTATCAATGAGTAGAGTTATTTTTATGTGGGACATCCTGTATTCAGTTAATTTATTCAATTATAATGAATGATTTATAACACTTAAAATTTCTTAAACAATTAAGTTTAAATTTTAAAAATTTTCATTCTTTAATGTATTATACCTTTCTCATCTATTTCTTTGTTAGTTTGCTGCAAACCAGAAAATGCAGTTTGGGCTACATTTTGAAGATGAGGTTTCAATTCTGGATTGCTGGCAGCCTTCATTAATTCTTTGCTAATAATTTTTTCTGTTTTTTCTCTTGCTGCTTGTTCTACTTTACGCTGTGAAATAACTGATAACTTTGCCAAAGCAGCTGCCAATTCTTCTGTTGCAAGAGCTTGTCTTGCATTATCCTAAAAATGTATTAACAGAATAATAATTTATAAAGATTTGAACAGTTAAAATATTTTATAAAAACTTAATTTAAAAAAGATTTTATATAAATAATATTTAATTATAAAAAAACATATTTTAAAAGTTGTTTTCTTCTAAATGTTTTATTCTTTTATAATTAAAGTAAGTTTTAAAAAATTATAATAATTTTCAATTTATCAAATCTTGTCTAAATTATATAAATTACAGTAGAGTGTTGTTTATCCAAATCAATTGGGGATTGGGGTTGTTCGAATAACTTATTTTTCGGATAACCGATTATGTACGAAAAAATATATTAACCTATCCCATGTTGAAATTTTTCTCCATTGCGTGTGTTGCTTTGCATTGAATTTTCGTCGATGTTAAGCCTAAGCTAAACTTTTTAAAATAATAATCGTGACTATTGTATTGTTAAAAATTATTTCTTTATTTTTTACAAACAAAATAAATATATTGAGAAATATAAAAACAAAAAAAAAAAAAATTATACTTTAGAAGTTAATCTAGTATCAAAAACGTTCGATTCAGCACAACACACAGTCCTCAGAAAAACACCACGCAAAAGTGCCAGTGCTGCCAGCTAAAACACACACATCAACAAAAAAATATTGGAGTAGCTCAAGATATAGCCAAAGATTGCAGCGTCACAGCACTAGCGAAAATTTAAATTTGCTGACTGGAATTCTTCCGGATAACTGACATTTCGGATAACCGATGCTCTACTGTATATGAAAATTATTCATTTGTGCTGAACTCTTAACTGCTGATCCTCTTCTATATTTAAATAATAGCATTTATTCTGTTTACCTAATTATTCTAAAATATTTTATAACAACTATTTTGAAGACAGAACAATCAGACTATCAACAAAATCAAGAAAATAAGTAAGTTGCAAATGGTTGGTTAAGATGTTTTAATGCATTTTAGCCATGCCTCATGGTAGAGACTAAAAATAAATAAAATTTGCATCATTTAAGACTGTACATGAGTATCACACTGAACTTGCTGATAAGCTGTGAACTGCTATTTTACAAAACAGATGAAGAATCTGTGTTACACTGTGTTTGTAGGTCAGTGTCTGTATATAAGTTTAAATGTAATACTTTTTTTTATATATTGTGTATAATAAATCACAACTTAGAAATTTTTAACTTAATCTTTCAAAAAATTAGAAAAAGTATGAAAACTACTTTTTGAAAACTATAAAAAATAATTATTTATAATTATTACTAGTAACTGTGATATCTCATAGCCTATAATAAATACTTTAACCTAATTTTACTGTAAAATGTAGGATATTTAGTTACAAATATTTAAAATGTAAAAATTAAACTAAAAGACTAAAATGGCTTTAAAATTATATATATATATATAAAACACTGATATGGTTTTACATTCATTTAACAAACATAATTTACCTGCCAAGTCATAGCTCTTTCCGTTAAATTTTGCAAAGCTTCTCCTTCTGGTAACCTTACTGGTAATTTTTGTAAAGATACTAAAAGTGCTAGTATCGTTTCTAAACGTGGTCTTCTTGAACGCATGCACATAGGACATAGGAACTTGACCTCATGTACCAAATGAGATACTGTATTTGTTGCAGATTGTTTCTTTGAAGAGGCAGATTTTGGAAGAGGCACACAATTAGCTAAATAAGATTCCAATTATAAAGATTTAACCAATAGTGTTATTTATATTTAAAAAATGTAAAAATATTAGATTGTAACATGCATTTCATAGGTTATCAAACTAATTATTTTATGTGTATTTTATAAATTTAATTAAAAAGTTTTTTTAGTTGAAATTACAAAATAGTTATTTAGCAATGTCATTACATTAGAGTTTATTCATACCATGATATCTATTCTTATTTTTCAATAAAGACAACATACTTTTAACACATAATGAAATTAAATATTGTCAAATTTTTCTTGATTAGATTAGAAATTAATTAATACAATTGAATCTTTTTAATTTGAACATAAGGATAATTCATAAAAAATTTGAATATCTAATCAAACTTTTTTGATATTCAAATATTTTTGAAAGTTAAACTTGTTTTCTGCAAGTTTCTAGCATTCATTACTACTTCATTCTCTGATAGAATCCCATATTTTTCTTTATTTTTTTTTTAAAACTTCAAACATCAACTTTTTAAGGAAAAGATAAACTTAAGTATAATACATTCCTCATCTAGATCTAAAACCATAGCTAAACAATTCTGCAAGCTAGATACAAATGTCACTGAAAACATATGACAATTTCATCTATATCCCAAAAGTTTACAGAAAATATGCATTTTGGAGATCCTCAAAAACACACACACAAAATTAATGACATGCTATTTTCCCTTTTAAAATTTAAATTATTCAAGTTCAAATCAACCAGATTCAACTTATATAATTTGCCTTAAAGATAAACAGCTTAACTATTTTTAAATCTATTATAATAATTAAAACATTTAGTTAATTATTTAGAAATTACTACAAGAAAAAATTAACTTATTGTAGAAATTTCTGATTTGAGTCCAAGTTAATCTTTCCTTATAAATTAGATACATATATAATGTTTCTAAATTGTACAAGTCCTGTTATATTATACCCCATATATGTTATATCCTTGTTATGCCAATCTGGCATATAATGTTCATGGTCTTCCCTAAAGCATTCAACATGAATCTAGACTTGTCTGGAAATTTCTAAATTATTAATCAATTAATTCTAAATATTCATTTGCAATGTTAATAAATTTAATAAAATGAAAAAATTCATTACATAATGTTTATGATAAATTATAATGAAGAAGTATAAAAATAATATCAAAAGGAAAAAAAAATTATTCCACCTGCAAGTGTGTTTCATAATAATTTCAAAATTGCTATATGGTAAATATTAACTGAGAATAAAAATATTAAGTTAATATGAAAAGACTCTCTTCAAAACAAAAATCTTTAAATTTGTTTTTCATTATCAAATGAATGGTATCTTACAGTACAAACCACTTAACATGCTCAGTACTTTCAAGAGGAAAAAAAAAACAACATTGTAGAATGTCAAATTTTTCATATATCAAAAATATGCTAAATTTTTTTTTTGAGACAAAATAATACTAAACATAAGCAACATTATTGGCATTAAATTCCTTGTTAATTTTAATTTCAACTGAGTATCTCAACAGGTTATTTTTTAAAATATACCACATACATCAAATACTAGGTATTTGTTTATTAGCTTATTTTCATTTCTTATGAAAAAATAAATATGGCATATATAGATGTCATAGTATATTGATTTTATTTTCAATGTGTTTTTTATTGATCTTAATTAATTTTAATTATGGAAGAATTTACAATTTATCTGTGTTTAAATTTATATATTAACATGATATTTATTTACATTACTTTTAATAAAATGTAAAAAAATGAAGCTAGTGCAAAAATATTAATNGTTCTGGCTTAGTGCCAAGAACAAACTACTTAATTGGAGTATGTGAATTTTAAAAAATGTTGCAAATTTTCACAGACAGATGTCAGTTCTGATATATTATAATTTTTTTCTATTGAATTTTTTTATGGAAATGTATTTTAAAATATCGTATTTATAACTACAGATATTAATAAATGTAACGTGATTTTTGTCATATGAATATAACAATAACTTGATTTTTGGTGAATTTTTGAAATAATATAACTTGTTGACCTATATTGACCTTGGCCCTTCTAGACAATAAACGTAAACACGGGGGCGTGGTAACTGCTTCTAAGAAGGTTAAGTGAGATTTTTAAGTGAGGTGCTGGTTTTAAGTGCATCCCTCTACAGAGGGTGCATGAAACTCACAAGACAGCATTTTTTAATTCTAATATTGTGAAACTGTCAGTATTACATAAAAAATAACAATTACAGTGGAACCTCTATATTCGTAATATTCTTCATTTTGATGACTTCCCCCATATTTGTCAGTATTTTCTGTATTCGTCATCATTCCAACACCGGCAGTGGCGCTACAATTGCATGCTCATGCCAATCACCTAGCCATGTTAGCTTAGTGTTGTCAATTTAGCAAATATTTTTGCTAGATTTAGTGGATTTATGAACAATCTAGCTATGCAAATTACCTAAATTATAATGGCCTAGCTCAGGGGTTGGAATTAGCGGCTCGCGAGCCGCATGTGGCTCTTTGCATAGACGTTTGCGGCTCTTCGGACATAAACTCCAATTTCACCTCACCTCATTTCACTGCAGCCTTATAACTTACGAGTTTATGTTATGAGATAAAGCTGCTGAACAAACTTCGACTCATACGCTGTCCGCACATGACCACACTCGCGTTGATCAATATGTGTCGCATAAGAGTGGTAGCATTTGAAGCATATCTATATATATAACACATAGAACGCGTGTCCGTACATCCGTGTAACGTTATGCCAAAAACGTCCGCTAGAGGCGCCCCTGTCGTGTGTCGTATTTCGCACATTTAAATTAATATGCGGCTCTCTGGTACTTTTGTTATTTTGTTTTCATGACAATTTGGCTCTTCTCACTTGACAAACTGCCGACCCCTGGCCTAGCTAATTTTATAATGCTATCTAGCTACAAAAAATCAAACAATTTTAATGGAAACAATATGATTTGAATACTTTTATTAAAATGTCTATCTATAAATTTGAATTTTGAGTTGGCAACACTATGTCAGCTAGTTGTAGTTAATCAGTCTTTGTTTGGTCATGTGTTCTTGGTTTCTCGTATTGATTATTTTGAAAACCTCAAGTTCCAATGGCTGCAAAAAAGTGCACTGAAGAAAAACAGTAAAAAAGGAAAGCTGTTAGAAATAGATATAAAAAAATTTTTTCAAAGTCTAAAAATGGACAAAGTAAAAAGGTTGCAGCCAAAGTTTTCATCTCTAAAACATCAATGTCGAACACTGAGCACTGCCATCTTGTAAGCCTAGAAGTTTGACAATGGCATTTGGAATGTCGAGCATTATTCTAATAATGTTCCAAATGCCATTATCAAACTTCTAGGCTTACAAGATGGTACTCAACATTCAACGTTCATGTTTTAGAGATGAAAACTTCAGCCGCAACCTCTCTAGTGTTTCCAACTTAGCCAAAGAATTTAATATGTTAAGATCATAATTGGAATTACCTAATGTTTTAACTGATGATATGTCTTCTAAACAATAATAACTTTACTCTTCTTCCCCTTTTATCACTATACTGTATTTATTTAGTACAATAAAGATAAAGTTTTACAAACAACAAAGTTTTTATTCTTGCATCTTTTTTTAGGATGGGAACAGATTAATTGAATATCAGTTATTTATTATGAGACAAATTGTTACTATATTCATTAGATCCTTAGGAACAGATTAATGATGAATATAGAGGTTCCATTGTATATGTTTAATTTCTGCATTTTGTCTTCTTTCTAATGATGTAAAATACTTGTGACCACTGGAAGTGCTTTTTTTATGTTTATTTTATTGTAAGTTGAACAAAAAGTGCAAAACTGAATATATCAAATTTCAGAAACTCACTGTAAATTATCTCAACCTACACCAATTAGCATCCACTTTGCATGAAATTTGAGAGGAAGGTGTTATTTTTCAGTCAGTGTAGATTGTCAGTGCAGCCCTCACTAACTTACTACTAATACTACTAATGTCAATAAGCCACTAATTGTTTTATTACCCTATAAACAAAAACTTTCTTCTGACAGTCAAATTACAATGTTGTTATTTTATTGCTCTGCAAAGAATATTTTCTTTAACATATGTTTAATAACTAGTTTTGTTAGATCTGATTAATTTATTTTTTAGTTGCAGGTTAACAGGCATACTGGTAACCATGGGGTTTTTGGTATGCTGGTCTCTGCATGCAGCATTGCAATCAATCTGCAAAAATATAGTACAATTTTCCAATATAAACTGCAAATTAAAATATCTAGCAACAGTAAGTTAAAACTATTTCATACATTTTTATTTCCTCTCTATTTTTTCCAAGTTCTACTGCTGTGTCATTAGTTAACTTCTGCTTCTTTAACAGCTCAAATTTCATTTGCAATTCAGTTTTTTCCTGATTTTGCTGAAATTCAAATTGCATTTGTCCCTTTTCTTCAAGAACTAATTTTTGCTTATGAAATGTATTGAGATAGTGAATTAACATGGAGCTGGTGATTACCACATTTGCAATTTCACCATGACTAAATAGCACCAGATACTTGTAATGCTAATAATCATTCTTTCTGTTGGTTTTTGATAAGAATTCCTTTATTTACAGAAAATCCAGACTTTCTGTACTATTTTAACCTCCATTTACCACAAACAAAAAGTAAGCATTTTGGCATACTAACTTCTTCCTAATTACATTTACTTTTTGACGTTCTATAACCTTCTGAAGTTTGGCCAATCTTATCATTAAAAACTGTATATACTGCATATGGGCATTGCTGACTAAGCTGAGGGGGCTTCCATATCATGGCCCTCCATAGCTACAGTTTTGATTTTGACACAATAGAAAATGTATCATAATCTAAGAAATGTTCTCTTAAATTATAATATACATTTTAGTATTATTTTCAATAATTAACTTATATATACAGTAGTTAAATAAATATTGTTTACCTCCATTAATGTGTAGTAAGAATTTTTTTTCAGAAAAGTGCGAGATGTTCTTTCTTTCCATGCAGTTGCAACTTCTACTTGAACTTCTAAATGTTGCAGCTGCTCTAAATGTACAGGAATGGGTCGACCTTTTTGTACAAGATATTCAACTATTTCCAAATACGTGTAGTGATCTCCATTCTAAGAATAAAATTATATATATTATTGTTCATAATATTATAAATTAATATTAATTATATATTGCAAATAATTTATAACAATAAATTTCATAAATAAAATATATACTTACCATTACTTGTTCAACTTTTGCAATCCATTCTTTTGCTTTCTTCACAGCATCTTTAACATTGAGTGTATTCGGTAAATGTACAGGTAAAAGACTTGTTTCATTCACAATTGTTTCTAACACTGATAAATTATTATATGGTCTGTAAAACAAATATAGTTACAAAAAATAAAGAAAATGTTAACTTTTTAAAGTAAATTAAATATGTATTCTCAATGAAATAAACTTGAAATCATATTTTTTTTTTAATTTCTAGTAGGGGGACTTTATATACTTCAAAATAATAAAAATTTAATCTAAACAAAAAAAAATCTAATTACACACCTGTAAAAAAAAGTTTAATAAGAAAGTCAGTGAAACATGATAATATTTAATATTTGTTTTTCTATGTGAAAAAAAAAATATTGGTTGATGGAAACAATTCTTCACATTTTTTATTTAAAAAGTTAATTAAAAGTTTAATATTATAATAAGTTTATAATAAAATCTCATAACAGATGGTAACACACAATTTTATTTATGATTAATAATATAAGAGTTATTTTTTAAATAAAATCTCATAATTGAGAAAGTTATGCAACTCATTGCTGAATTTTACTTTTGTTAATATATGCTGATTCAGAATAACTATAATTTTTGTTTAATCCAACTCACTTATTTTACAGAAAAAGTATATATTTTTTTCTACCAACACAAATATAAAATTTTTCTTTTCAAAACTGGGTTATGTGAACAGTTGCTGACAATAAGATAGTTTAATAACTTTTTAATATTTGATGTTATTTTACTAATAAAATTCAGTTATTTTGTAAAATTTTTAAAATGAAAATATTACCAGGATAATTTCTTTTATACTTGAAAAGAGTAAATTTTAATTTAAGTAATAGCTTTGTTGATTTCTTATTTATCAAAAAGTTAATAGTTTGAGACATCAAACTGCTTAAAATTTTAAGGTTTACTGACCTCAATTTTTTATCTTCATAAACTTTAATGTATATATATATAAATCTGTTCAAATTCTATACAATAAAATTTTCTCAAGAGAAGGACAAAATGAAAAGAATTATTAATATATAAAAGGAAAAAAAAAGTACTTTGTAAAACTTTCATACCCATCATACCCTTTTAAATAATCTGTTGTATTTTCTGAATTTAATTTTGTTATAAATTATTACAATTTAGAAAAATTCTAGTATCTTTTTTATTTGTACAAAATAAGGGAAATTATATATCTAAATAATCATAAATTAAGTATTTATAAATATCATCATGTATCAAATCTTAAATAGTAAGTTAGTAATTATTAGTAGCAAACTGTAGCATTAATACAATCACATCACATCAATATAATGAAAAATAATGTAACTAATGTAATGTAATGTATACACATTTTTACTACAACTATTATTACACATGATTTATAAGTATATCATGAATCTGTAATCCCAAATATATTACCTAAACTAAAAAATCATTAGTACAGACAGTTCAAAAAAGTGATATGGTCTGATATATAAGAAGCAATTAATGTTAATGATATAACAAGACATTTTGAAAGAATCACTCAAGCTTTTTCTAATTCCAACTGATTCATCCCTTTCTCCAAAAGTGCAAAACATGTTATAAAACACAAAGTATAAAATGTAAAAATGTAAAACTTAAAATTTTTGAAAAATTTTATAAAATTGAATAATACATACTTTGCTTGAAGACATGTCTTTGCCTTCTCCTCCCATTTTTCGCCTGTAGTTAGCATTTCTTGTAGATCTCCCATAGTTTTCTCTACTAGCTGATGTGGTGGTATATTAACACCCATATCTAAGAGCTTTCTTAATGTATCTAATGTTACTTGTTGTGGATTAGATAATGAAATTCTGACTTCTTCTAACCATTGAGTTTGTTGTAATTTCTAAATTTGATTTTAATAAATAAACAAACATTTATTAACAGATTATATATGTATGTATATTCTCTAATATATAGTAATTCAAATTAAACTAACTTGTTTAAGTTTAGGAATTTCAGACAGATCAACATCCAAACTCAGTCCAATATCTAATTGTTTTTCAAGTTTCTTCAAATCAGTCATATCTTCAGAAAGCAAAACTTTTGCATCTCTTTCAAAACCAAGAACTCTGTCTAACAAATCCTGGAAATTAAAATTTTAAATTAATATTTCTAGCACAAAAGTAATAAGTGGAAAATAATTAAATCCAGTTCCTTATCAATAACTTATTTATCAACAATATCTATTATTACTGAAGTCTACAACTATCAAAGATAAATATGAATTATAAATTGAAAATATCAATTAATAAAAATTACAAATAAGATAAGAAAAACTGAATGGCATGAATGTTTTTTAGTCACAATTAATAAAATGAAGAAAGACTTCTAAATTATAATAATATTTATATATAGATCTGTATATGTTAAAGTTTAAAAATATAAACTTATTTATTTATATTTCAAACTTTATTCAGAAAGTTCATGAATAAAATATCCCCTAAAAATAAAAACAGTTCTTAGACACTGCTTATTAAAATAACTGATAAAGATTATGAAAAAAATGCTTTTGGCTTTATTTAAGTTATCTGCAGTTATACAACTTGTTCCAATTAACATTCAAAGTTAGAGTTTAATAATAAATAAATCAAAAGAATAAAATGAAACATCAATTTTATTATGATGGTGCCAAGATTTGCAGATTTCAAAGATCCCCTAAAAATTTTTTGAAAGTCTTTGATACTTTAGAACTATAGATTTTCTTAAGAATAATCAAAAATCTCAAATACATTTTAAAGATTTTTCTAATTTAATAATATACAGTATATCATTTAACAGTCAAGTGTAAAGTTATAAATGATAAAATCTTAATTTGAAAAAATATAGTAATTGAATCTTTCGTCTAATAATTTTTTCTGTATAAATGTATAATTTATTGAGCAGTCTAAATGTATAATTGGTAAGAATTCTATTAAAACTACTAAAAAATCTATCATGAAAATTGTTTTATTGTCAACAATCTAGAATTTTAAGAGATTTTTTTCATTTTTGATTCTGCCCCATGTGGGCTAATGAGAACCTTTTATCCTAGTCTATTGTGGCTTGGCTAGGCCCACAAAGAAATGGCTGAGTGATGAGTCCAGAATATCTGGACAGACAACCCCCCAAAAAAATCCAGGAGTTGTCGGTCCTGATAAATCCTGAGATCCTCAGAGCAATAGACAGATACCTTTACTGTACTGGCCATCTGACTAGCTACTACAGAAATTAATTTCATTAAAAATTGATATTATTATTATACTATTGCTAACAATAAAATACAAAAATTCTGATGTAGTTAAGTGCTGAACAAAGAAAATCTATAAAACAGTCCTACTTCAAAAATTTTGATGAAATAGACATATTTTATCATGCAACGATAATATATAAAAATAAAAGGTTCTCTGAGTGAAAAACATGCAACACTGTTGATTGGTCACATAAATGATGTTACGTCATTCAAAACATCTCAGAAAATAGTAAATAAAAGCTTTTTGTGACCAGAAAAAAAACACTAAACCTCAGTGTTTTAATAAACTTAGAATAAACAGTTTAATAATCTCTAGTATACAAACAAAATTTCTTGCATTATCTCTGAAATTTTTTAGAAATAGCTAATGAGTTGAGATGTGGAATTATAACAGAAGTCAAGAAAAGTTCTCTTGGTTCTTATCAATTATATGACACATTCTCAATTAGTGGATTTAAAAAAAACATTCAACTTGGAATCTCTCTCTCTCAAGATCACATCCTTGATGCAGTCAATAAAAATGAAAATAATAAAACCTTTGTCTTTTATTTTCTGACGTTCTACAACATACACAACAATCATCAAGAGAGGAACACTTGAGTGATGCTCCTTATAGACTGAAGAGAATATGAGAAAATACTTAGATATGAGTATTGCAAGGTTTTTAACTATTATTTTATTAACTATACATAGAACTAGTCTAAGCATCCATCATTGTCCAGAAAACTGTAATGAACATGCTATAATTTGATAAAATTTTGTTATGGTTAAATAATGCCACATAATTACAATATACTGTAATCACTCAAATCTAAGATGCATCATAATTTCTACATACATACCACAGATATTTTTGTTTTTTTGAAAAAACAGACAATTCAATACAACAAATATTAAACAAACACACTTTGTTCCATATTTATTGTAAGTAAATTTATATACAGTAGAGCGTCGTTTATCCGAATCAATTGGGGACTGGGGTTGTTCGGATAACTTATTTTTCGGATAACCGATTACGTACGAAAAAATACATTAACCTATCCTGTGTTGAAATTTTTCTCCATTGCGTGTCGCTTTGCATCGAATTTTCGTCGATGTTAAGCCTAATGTAAACTTTTTAAAATAATAATCATGGCTATTGTATCATTAAAAATTATTTATTTATTTTTTACAAACAAAATAAATATATTAAAAAATATAAAAACAAAAAAAAATTTATACTTTAGAAGTTATCTAGTATCAAAAACGTTCGATTCAGCATGACTAGGGTTTCTCAAACGGGATTCTGGGATCCCGGTTGTTTTTTTAACCCGGAAAATTTTTCTTATCCCCGGAAATCCCGCAAATTTCTTAAAAATTCACTTTTTTTCTTATTTTGTGTTAGGGTTGAGGAATTTTGCAAATAGAAAGCATAATTAACTCATTCACTGTCAAAATACATTTGTATTTATTAATTTAAAACCTAACTATTAGTTTTTTTTTAAATTTTTGCTCGTTATAGCATGTCACAAATGGTCAATAATCAATATATAGCTTATTTGTGGCAGGACTATAAAAATTCTTTACTTGTCGGAACCTGTAATATCTGGAATAATTGTGCTTACGCTGTCTTGAGTTTTAACCATGCCCAGTAGCTTCAATAAATGCCTGACGCCAGATTGTGCAAATTGGGCAAGNAATTGTTTAGATTCCAACCAGAATTAATATAATCCTAAATTTAAAATAATAATGTATTATTTCTATTAAATTTATTACAAGCTTCATTAAAAATTTATGAGAGTAAAATAAAGAAAAATATTAAATATTACAATTAACACTTTTATTATTTACACAGACATCTCAAAAACATTTTTGAAAATTTTCATGAAACATCTACTTTTTCTTTAAGAAAACTGAAGACATTTTTAAAGAAAAATAATTTTAAAAAAGAAAAATTTTTGAAAAATAAAATATGAATCAAAGCTTGTATTTTTCAATGCTTAATATATCCTCCAATAATTCTTTGAATAAATCTTTTTTTCAAAACATTCTGTAAAATATTTTCTATAGTAATTTTTGTTTTGCATTATTACTTTGTAAAGTAGAAAAAACCCAAATATCTTTATTTTTTGCAAAAAATATAAAGATAAACAAGGATAACAATGCACAAATAAATATTCAACTAAACATTGACACTAATGGATATACTGAAGTGATTAGCAGAGGTGATTATCTGAAATTCTGTCCTACAAGAGGCTTGTATGATGGTAATGGCAGATTTGCTACATTCCACCCATAATATCACTTTCAAATGCCTACACTTTTGCATTTCTGCTAAAACCAATCATTTTGAATGTGTACTACAGCAAAATACAGCTAACTGTTTTTGTATTCATTTATGCAATGTTGGTTTTTATCCTTTAGAATCAGAGATTCTTTATGTTATGCAAAAATCTAATGTTGGACTTTCATAAAAGCAAAGGAGTGTAAAACAAATTTTCATAAAGCAGGGAATACCTATATACAACTTTTGTAAATTTTAATATGAAAAATTATAATTCCACTATTTTTATTAATTTTTTGTTACACTCTTTTTGTTTTATTTATCATTATTATTGTTTTCACTGTTTTTTGTTACATATAAATTATAATTTTCTTCCATAGATTAAAATGAAAAAATAAAACAAAATCAATAATTTGAAATGATCATTAACCATTAAGATTTTAACCAGTACAAATAAAAAACTAACATATTTACCTCATCTCCATAAACTAAGCTTTTAGTATTCTTTGTTGGAAAACCAGAACCATGTTCCATAGTATGTAAATCAGCTCCATATTCAACTGTTACGTCTTCATCAACGGCATTCACAATGCGCCAAAATTCTTTTTCTACAACTGAAGGAGGAACCATCTATAAAATATATTAAGAAGTTCAATTTTGTTTGTTTATTTGATTAAAAACTAAAATACACAGAATAAAATATTAACTTTAAAATTTAAATTAATATAAACCAAATCCACAAATATTTCTGATGTAACTTTATAAAGTTAAAGTAATATATCATAACATAAGCTTATCTATCTCTATCTTTGTATTTACTCCAGGAAAGCATCGAATATGTTATTTGTTTAATTTGGAGTTTTTCTTGTTTGTGAAGTTAAAATGTTTTTAAGATGTTATTTGTCATCTGACAGTTGAAAAATTTAGAATAGAGTAATTAAAAACATGTTACATGTAACGATTATGATTTAAACTTGGTCAGCTCATGATTTAAATAATCAGTTAATTTTATTCACCTAACAATTTGAAATAAGCAATATATTGTTATTTACTGTTTTGAAAATAAAATCAATATACAGATAAATGAATTAATATGAATGACTAAACAATTGCATAACATAATACTGAATGCTTTTTATTTACAAATTGACTGGGAAGTCTTATAAGATAATTTGGAAGATAAGATAATTATACATACATACATAAGCTGAGTGAAAAGTAATGGCAACATTTATAATACGAACAAAATTATTATTTACACACAAAATTATCCTTCCTGCCCCTCAATATAATCACATCAGCTAGATTCCAAATCTGTGAGATAGCAGATTCTATTTGAAATTCCTTTTTTTCATTTACAGCTGTGACAGATCATGTACTATGTATGTATATCATATTCTATGTATGACTGTATGTAATACTGCAACCATACAGAGAAAATAATGTACTGTACTTGTAGGATCCCTTGATTGTAGAAAAGGAGTCATAATAACAAGGATTCATATCTGATGAGAAAGGTAGATGCTTCCTGTTTTCCAATGAACTGTTCCAGATGTTCTTTCATTGAATTCTATAAGATATTGAGCATTGTTGTACCAAGAGATGGTAGAATGCATCTAATAAATAATGACTGCTTTCTTCTTAATGTTGATGTAAGTGATTCTCAGAAAAGCATCTTATTGAGAATCATGTGACAATCAGAATAGCTTTCACTCTACTGGATTCCTGTCAATTTTTTTTTAATCCTGAAGACTAGTGATCCATTCATTTGACTAGCACTTCAGTTTTGGCTCTTAAATCTGTGCCTATATTTTGTCTATGACAAATGATTCAACAAAGAAATGCATCTTCATCATATTTTGTAATATACTGATGTGCTTATACCACATTTGCACTATAGTAAGTTGATGCAGGATCCGTCACACTGAAAACATCACATATCATAATGAAATATATGACTAAATCAGTGATTTGAACTTTACCATGTTTATTTATTGCCTATCAGCACAAAGACTGCATAAACTCCACCTATTCTTCTCAAATGTGATTACAGCACAAATGATTGTCCTTTGCATTTTCTTGACCATGACAATTGCACTCATTGTGCAATTGTTATAGGGAGTTTGCCATTACCATATCTCCCCAACAGTCCTTTATGTTGCAACCATATGCTAACTAAATTTTGATCTAACAGTATTGTTTAAATTTTGTAAACATGCTTCATAATACTTTAATAAGAATGACATAAGTTCAGTAGCTTTGTCTTCTTTCTCTCTACATCACCCTGCAAATAATATCCTATACTAGAAATATACTGAATAGCCAGAAGTCATGAGAACAGCAATGAAACTAGAACTAGTGTTGTAACTCATAACTGATGCATTGTATAATAACTGCAGTAGTTGACATACTCAACATTCATTTCTGCACAATTAGTTATTCAACATGGCTGCAAATCAGGATTTATCTGACTTTGAATATGGCATGATTGTCAGTGCTAGAAAGAATTTCAGAGATCATGCATAAATTTGCTTTTCCAGTTATACAGTATCAGGAGTGTACCGTGCATCTCATATCAAAAGCATTTCCATGCACATAAATCAGCAAATGGGTTTACCATGTGCCATTGAAGAGCACAGCTCACATCAGCAGCATGATTGGTAAGGTTTACTGATGATAAAGGAGTATTTCAACAGGAGAATGGAATAAACCATCAATCTTTGGTTTCCAGTAGATGGTTGGAAAAACTCTCTACATACTACCACCATGATTTTGCTCCTAAGCTCCTCGATATGAACCCTTTGGAGCATTTATGGGACACAATGGAAACCAGCTTATAATAAATGAATCAAGCCTCATCCAACGAAACAGAATTATGCTCTAGAATGCAGGATTTGGGGACAGCTATCCCTGCAGAATGGATCCAGCAGGTTGTTGACTCAAGTCATGACATGTGCAAGCACTTCTAAAGGCTAGAGGTGGACCAACTTATTATTAGGTTCCTATCCCATAACTTTTGATCTTTCAGTGTAAAGTGTTAATTGTATTGGTTGGTGAATTGCTTTTTGTCCTTATGTTACAATATGAAACTATGAGCACTAAGTTTTGGCTCTATGAAGGACATATCACATGCTATTGACATTGTCAGAGTAATCACACAGAAGTGGGTAGACACAGATTTATTATGATAACGATATGCATTTCAGACCTGATGTCTGTCCCTCTTCAGCCATACTTGTTACAATATGATGGGTTTTATAGGCATCTACAAAAATACAATCAGTTTTTCATTACAAAAATTTGGATTTATGATTAAAATAGTTCAAAATTACATTTTTATACATACTAAAAGATGCATTCTATTGTGTTGCTGATGTGTGGATGACTCCATTTTTGAGATTTTTCAAAGATATTATATTATGTTTTCTGAACAAATTGCAACAAGAGATTAAAATTGTTGCTCAATGAATTTAATTGTGAAGTAAATACTATGGTAAATGAATATAATAACGTTATAAACAAGATTACAGTTACCAAAGTAAGAGCTGTTTTAAGAAAGATTACATATGTTTTTTGCAGTCGACCAGTTTGTACAATGTTCTCTACTATAGAAGCAATGCTACTATAGGGTGATATCTTATGTTGGTGATATAAGTATTACCTGCTGATTTCAGATGTTTAAGTAAGAGTGCCAGATAGTATCTAATTGTACCCATGTTTTTGTTTATTCTTACGTTATCATGGATTTTAATAATTTTTATGTTTGTATAATTTGTGGTAGTATTTCTTTGCTTTTAATATTTTTTAATGAATCTTTATTAATATTGTAATTATGGAATAAACAGTGTTTGGCAACAGCAGAGTTTTCAAGGTTGTATTTTATAGCATTGAAGTGTTCTTTAAAATGTATTTTTAATTTTCTTTTGATTTCATCAACATAAGTGTGGTTACATCTACAGGAAAACTTAAACCACATTGTTTTTCTCTGAAATGTTGATAACAGTATTATTGTTGCTTAATTATTTGTGGATTGCATTAGTATGGGCTGGTACAATATGTATATTAAATTGTTTGAATTTATTTTGAATCTTTTCCAAAAAATTTTTGATACAAGAAACCATACAGTATTTTGCTGGTGAACTAATGTTTTGGACTATGTATGGTGTTCTATTATCTAATCTACCTAGCCATTTTAATTAGGTGGTTTTGGTGTAATTATTTAACAAAAATAGTTTGATAATTTCATTTATTTTGGAATTTTGATCTGTTATATCTGTAGGTCTATTTTTAATTTTACTGATAATTTTACTGTTTTTCTTTATACATAAACGGGTCTCTGAGTTGTAATCTATAACTTTTTTAATGTTGCATTATTTAATAAAACTATTAATTTTATTAATTAGTCTAATGATTAATATGTCTAGGAAGGGTAATTGGTGGTTTCAAATGTTAATTGTGTGTTATGCCACCAGATAGTGTTGCAAATGTTCCATTCTTTCAACAATAATGTTGTCATTTCTTTTCACTCAACCCATTTACGTTAAAAAATCTTAAGAATGATCTGAACAATGATAACATAATACAGTAGTGCCTTGTATAACGTACGCCTCAAATAACAGATGCTGCGAACAATGGACTTTCTGTGAACAAGTGCGAATGATGTTTCCACACTTTTGCCGTTACCAATGACAATCTGCTATTTTTATAATATATTAGTATTATTAGAATATATTATTAGTATATCTGAAGTACAGAGCTCCCGTTGGGATTCGGATTGCTCCCTTGTTTATTACGTACATCACCTCAGTGCAGGGTATTTACATTTATTCAAGTGTTGTGCAAATCATGGCTTCTAAAAAACAGAAAGGTGATTTCAATTGAAACAAAGCAAGAAATCATNATAGAATTTATTCAATTTTTATTTTTACTCTGTCTTACATTACCAAATAAATATATTTTCATACAGAAGTTTTTTTTTATATAATTTGAAAAGGAAAATTTAATTGTTACTATTTATTACCTCAGCAACACATTTTGGACATCTCCAATCTCCCTTTGGAATTTCATTAAGTGGAGGTACCAGACAAAATGTATGATAACTATCATCACACCCATCACAAAGTAACATACTTTCTTCAGCATCTCCGCGGCCACACGTATGACAAACAATTTGATCTATCTAAAAAAATTATATACTTTTACAAAATAATTCATTTAAAATATATTTAATAAATTTTTAATCAGAATTTTATATTAATTAATTAGGTAAAAATTTTAAAAATAATCATTTAACTTATTTCAATAAAGCATATTTCATTTATAAGTTAACAAATTAAAACAATGGAAAGTTATGAAACTTTCCTAGCTAAACTAATTAAAGGAATTTTACTAAAAAATTGATTTAGTAATCTAAATTTTCATTATTAATTCTTTAATTTAAATTACATAGTCAGTAATAATCCAAAAATATTTTTTCATTTAATTTACTATTAACTAGATTGTTACTTCTTAATTTAGTCACTAAAAAAATTATTTTAATATTTGTCATAAAGATAAAAAAAAGTCCTTAAAAAGTTTTAATAGTAATGATTATTAGAAAAATTATATTTTTAAAAAATCAGAAACACTAGTTTTTAATTATGAAAATGATTATTGGAACTTAATGTAAAATATTTACTTTTTTCAAAGCTATAAAGGGAAAATTTTGATTTAAAATTAAATTACTCATTTATCAAAAATGAATTATAAATATATAATAGAAAATGATGAATATATTTTATTTCAATCTTTTGCTTATTTATCAAGATTTACATCAAAAGAAATATATAAATATATTCTAAACAAATTTATTAACTCAAGAAACATTTACTTTTATTAAATACTAAGTTAAATAATTATAAAACATTTTGAAGAAGAAATTAGGTAATTATTAAATATGTTAAAAATATAACTCCTCAATATTTAAGTGTATATTTTCCTCATATTCTGAACTAAAAAAACTGAAATTTACTATTTTATTAGATGTGAAAAACACAGAAATGTTTATAAATTTAAATATCTGTGAGAGAAAAAAGTTGTTGCAATGAAAATTTTTTTAATGACATCTCAGCAACTTGTATAAAAATTCTTGAACAGATTCTGAAAAGTTTTTGGCATATTACTTCAAAATTCTTGAATACATCACATACATTTTTACTTTTTTAAAATATAGTTTCTTGTCAAAATAATTATATAAATGTAAAATTAATAATATGAACAATTATAATTATTTATAATGTTTTTAAAATCTTATAAAATTTATCATTATGTATTTATTTATAAATTATAAATAAATACACAACTTCATGGATACATGAATTAATTGTTAAATAAAATCTATAAAGTTGCAAATATGTTTAGCTAGTACAGAAATCACAATCAAAATTATTTTCAAATGAATATCATCATGCTTTTTAAAAGGCAGATTTCAAATTTCAATAGAAAAGATGCATGTAGTATTTAAATAACAGTATTAAGAGTACTCTTATAACTAAGTGATAACTTACATTTATTTTAATTCACATAATTATTGCAACTAAGCAATCTCATTAACTTTTCTTTTTATAAAAAATTTAATTTTCGATCTGAACATCATTTTTCAATCTAAGATATATTTTAAAATTTTATGAACATTTTTTAAAAACCAAAATATGTGTTTAAAATTAAAGTTCCTCAATATAAGTTTTAAGTCATCATTTCTAGCAAGTTTCTAGGTAAATAATAATAAATTTTGAATATATGTAAAATTAAGAAATATTTGCTTTTCTTACTTAAATTTTTATTTCAATTAAAAATACAAGTCAAGCCTTTATTTTCTTAATCTTAATCACAGAGTTCTACAAGTAAATAAAAACTGTCATATTCTATTCATAATTAGTATTTTAAATTCAAGAATCTTTTAATTCAAAATACATGAGTTATACATTTATGCTGTTTATTGTAGTTCTTGTTATGTGTTGTATTATGTATTTCACTTTTGATAATGAAACCTGCTGCATTTCAGATTTATAATTCTTCTTTAGTTTCTTGTTTTAAACTTTATTTATTTTTGAAATAATCATAATCAGGATAAACATTAATTACTTAGAAATAGTTAATATTAACAGCAATAAAAAAATATACATGTTTGTTTTTTGTTGTGCCTACTTGTTACTTCCAAAGTAACATTTTATTTTATTCAATTTATATCCTGTGATGATTTCTTTAACCATTTGCAAATGAATAATGTCTTCCTATTAACTGGATAATCTGCATTTTGGCAAAGGATATATCAAACATTAATATTTTGTCAACTATAGATCAATCATTATTTTTAAATTATTATTTCCAATAGAATTTATTCAATTTTTATTTTTACTCTGTCTTACATTACCAAATAAATATATTTTCATACAGAAGTTTTTTTTTATATAATTTGAAAAGGAAAATTTAATTGTTACTATTTATTACCTCAGCAACACATTTTGGACATCTCCAATCTCCCTTTGGAATTTCATTAAGTGGAGGTACCAGACAAAATGTATGATAACTATCATCACACCCATCACAAAGTAACATACTTTCTTCAGCATCTCCGCGGCCACATGTATGACAAACAATTTGATCTATCTAAAAAAATTATATACTTTTACAAAATAATTCATTTAAAATATATTTAATAAATTTTTAANACACTTTAAACATATATCATCATAGTATTATATACAATTGTAAACTTGATGTACTATGTTGATTAATGGAAATAAAATTGAAGTCAAACACAATGAATCTCATCACCATGTAATGCATTTTAATTCAAGCTCACATGAAATGTCATCCATTAAATAGTATTTCAAAGAGTTTTGAAATAAAAAGATTTAATTTTTTAAACTAAATCACAGCTTCAATTTTTATGAAAACTGCCTAGCAGACCTGACTTATTGTATATAACTGCAATTTAACAGATAAATTAACTGGTTAGAAACAAATTAAACAACAATAATTGCACTCCCTCCCTCCCTGCCATCCCTCACTACAAAAATCATTCTGTAGAATTGGGGAGTCATGATTTAAATCTGAACCAAATGCTATAGCCAATATTGCAACATAAAGACATTCATTTCAAACTTATTATGAGTGTGCACACTTAATTTTCTTTTCAGTTTTTAACCTACCACTTAGATACTTAACACTCAAATTTCATTTTCAAAATAGGATCTTCCTGCATTTTGGCAGATTTTTCCAATTAATGTCTATAGACTTTAAAACAGCAAGGATGCTGCTCTATTTTAGGGTTTCAGCTATTTTGATAATATTACTTTTCTACTGCAAATTTTTCCTGTACCGTGTTAGTGGATTTGGACATATTCTGCACCACTGCAATAGATAGATCATAATCAGTTTATTACATAAAAACAGATATGACTATCTCAATATTGATTGTATGCTGTGCCATTATGTTCTCAGAACTTGGAATAAAAAAATGCAGCTTATATTTGAGCTAGTAGTATATGTTGAATTAACTTACCTTGTTCTGACCTTACGACTTAACAACTGTTGTGCAACTGATGCGCATTTTTCAGCATCTTGAATTGCTGTTTCTAGTGCTACTAGCAAATCACTTTTTGGAAATTTCTTTTCTTCTGCTTCTTGAATGAGTTCCTTTAATTCTAAAATTTCTAATTATGGTAAGAAAAATTATTGTTAAGAAAAATAATATTTCTAAAATTAATAATAAAACTATCATGTATTAATGTATGTATTTTTATAGTTCTATGCCTCTAAATAACGAAAAATAATTCAGATGTTTTAAATGGCTAAGACAATAATGAAGCATCAGTGTGGATACTTCTATAATCGTGTTTTTTAAAACAATATAAGAAGTGATAATATAGATATATTCAATGAAATAATCTTATTGAACAATCTAATCAGTGATGAAATTTGGAGGAATGCACAGCACCAGAGATATATATGTATTGTAAATTGACAGCAAAGAATTTTACAATGATGATTCACAAAGAACTTTATATTTGCTTTTAAAGTTTGTAATTTTAATTAGAAAACTTACAGAATATGTTGAAATGTTAATTTATAGCAAAGAACATTAAATTCTACCTCAAACAAAAATTTTGGTTTGATATCTGCTGTATCACTAATTGCTCTCATATCACAAATTCAATTTCTTGCCAAACTAAGCAGCAAATCTGTTGTCACTTCAGTAACTGCAGTGGTTATTCAAGTTTTGAGCTCAATGATTTGTAGATAGGATGAAGAAACAATCTTTAATGAAACCCCAGAAGAAGCAAAAAAGTAGAGGTGTGTCAAATCTGGGAACAAGATAACCATGCTATCAGTCCTGTTTGACCAATCCACTGACCTAGAAAACATGTTTTGAGGAAATCCCAGATATCTATATAGTTGTGGGGTGGTATGCTGTCTTGCTGAAAGTGCATCTTTCTGTATCATTGTCACTTAACTGAAATAAAAAAATTTCCCAGCATATTCAGATACATGATATTCTCAATCTTTCATTTTTGTGTACATGGCTCTACACTATCTTTGCTAAAAGAAAAAAAGAAAAATAAATATTCACACAGACTCATGAATTTCTTCCACAGCTACTTATAGATTTCAAAGCCCAAAATTCTGCACTTAACAACTGAGATGAAATGTCAACTCATAACTGAAGAACATCGTTGATCTTGCTCTTTCTCAATCTTATGCAACATATTTGCACAAAATTCATGATAAGCCACCTTTTCTACATAGGTATTTTTTGAAGCATTTCAAATTTATGTTATTTTAAGTGCAAATGTTTTTGAAGATGTGCCTAACTTGATTAAAACTTGCATTTCACAAGACATATGGTGTACTGATTTCCTAGGATTATAAATAAAGCTCATCCTCATGTGTTCATTAAAAGATTCAGAAACACATAGGCAATCAGGGAATTTGTCATGACAAACAGAACAACCAATCACAACAAAATTTTGATGCTAAGAGCAAATTTTAGGGTCTACTAGGAGAATCCCTACAATACTTATTGCAAAAATTTAATTTAATTTCAGGGATTTTGTTTTCTCAAACCAAAACACAGAGCAAGTAACCATTTTCAAATGCATGTCTCATAATGATGGAATTCAGTACTATGACACTACATGAGACAAACTTGATGTGTTTTACTATAAAACCTCAACCAATTCTCAAAGTCTTCAAATTAAAATTCTAATGCTTCCAAAGTTGTAAGGGTTTTTTTTATCATTCTGTACAATCAATTCTCAGTTCAGTAGGAGTGAATTTAGTTTGATTAGTGACAGCAGGAATGCATGCACAAATAAGTCATCATATTGTTCTTAATAGTACAAATTTAGTTAAATTTAGTGAAGTGTTTACTTTGTTGTGATCCTGTCATCCATGCTGTTTTATACTTGTGTTTCTATACTATAAACCATTTAGTAGTGTCTTGGGCTAGCCAAGGAAAACAGAAAATCCTTATTATTGGAAAAAATTACAAATCATTCAACAGCTAGATAAAGGAGCAAATGTTAAGAAGTTAATGATGCAATATGAAATTGGATAGCAAACTGTATATGATGAAATGTTGCTTATTTTCTATGATCTCTCTGACATCATCACTAGATTTTTCAAGCAGATTTAAAACAATGTATTTCAATGAAAAAAATTAACATACAAAGCTTCGCATAGAATAACTGGTATTATAATTTTTCAAAATTAAATTTTTGGAATTTACAATTTACATTAATCTTTTAAATTGTATTTTCTATACAATTTTTTTTTAATGAGAAAAAGAAACAGGATGATGCTTGAGTTACAGCAACTTAAATGATTTAGTCAACAATGGACTAGTGGAACACTGGTTAATAGGTATATTTGCACTAATCAGGCAAACTTTTTATGAAAAGTTAAGATCTATTCTGTGATTTGTCTGGCTGATTAAACCAGACAAAGCACAGAATGGTTCTAAAACAGCAGTATGGCAAGTAAAGAAATACATATCATCCAAGGAGAGAGATTAATTGCTGACCATAATGCTTCAGAGGAATTTCAAAACAAATTTAAAGAATTCACTTTTGCAGGATATTTGTTGCCTAACCAAATACACAAATCAGATGAATCTGGCCATTTATGGAATAATCTTTGTAAAATTTCAACCTCTTAGCAGCATGGTTTTGATCCAACCAATGGATCTGTATATAATTTCATGCTCAAAACAATTCTACTGAGCACAACTTTTACAAAAATATGTCAACGAATGTATCATGTTAAAAGTCTTCTAGAAAGAGCACAGCATACTTGAAGCAATTTACAATGTAATTTCATTGTAGTACAAAGACATCAACCTTATCAAGAGGTTGAAAATAGATTTTTCCTGATTCTGCTGATTGAGAAAGACCCTTGTCAGTTTCCAGGAGAAGAAACTGTATAAGCATCAGAAACAGCACCTTGCTTAAGGCAGTAGTAGTAGTAGTTAAGGCAGAGAGAATGTGGATGAAGATTATATGATTCAATCATTGCATTGTGACAATTGTGACCCAGGGTTAGAATAATTAACTGAAGTTGAACTGGGTAATCAAATTCTAATGGGCAAAAGTAACATGCAAATGGGTGCAGCATAAGAAGAAGAAGTTTCTTAGAGAACCAAACTATCTGCATTGAGGGCTGCTTGATTATCTATAAGGAAAAATGTCAGCCATCTTAGATGCAAGACAGTGCTGCAGAAACTATATGCATCAACAAAGAGGAAAAAACAATTTAAAAAATAAACATTCCTGAATATTTTATACCATTGCAAAACATAAATTACATGGAAATGTCTAAATTAGATATCATTAGACAGTTTTTGTTAAGTTAATGTACTGTACTATTTATAATTATCATAGTTATGTAACATAATAAATGTGCAATTAATTACTATAATCATAATTTTTATTTAAAATGATATTGTGTAATTTTTAAATGAGTAAAGTCTTCACGATTGGTAATGAGCTATGCTTTTCAAATTGTACTGTACAGTTTACTTTGTTTAGTTGCCTAATGACATATTGAAACATGCCAAATAATGTGTGCACAGTTATTTTCAAGTATTTTGAAAATTTACTATGATGCATGAACTCTCTACTACCCTGCTAAATTGGTAAGCTGTGTATATATTCATGTTTAAATCTGCCATCTATATTCATAAACTCATCTATATTTTTATATTATAATTCATTAAGGAATCTAAAATAAAAAGTAATAACATCTGATAATTCAATGAAATTAGAGATAGAAAATAAGAAATCAGAGATGTTAATATATTTATGAAAAAAGCAGATAGAAACATCAGCTGATCACAGCAATCAATTGATAACACTCCTATGTCAAACTTATATTTGTATCAAATCAAAATCTTTATGTATAAAATTTATCAGATTTATTTCAAAATACATCAAAAATAGATAACCTAATAATACATGTATTATTAGGTTATAATAAATGTATGCATTTCTTAATATATTACTATCTTTCTCTTATTTATTTTAACAATTATCTATTGCCTACTTTTAAACATAAAACAGTCTACTTTCTAATCATTGTTTTTGTGTGCTAAAAGTTGAAGTATTTTTGTAAAAATCTTTTTTTTTTCTTTTTACTATCATAATAATACTGAATATTCTCTTCATTAAACCTAATATTGTATTTTAATATATATATATATATTTACCAAGTTTATTCCCTTCTGTTGCTTCTAATGCATTCTTTACTTTTATTGCCCAATTATCAAATGATTCTGCTCTCACTTTCAGTCTGTGTAGCATTACAGGTAATTCATCTAGGGTGTATCTATATCTATAAAAGAGTATAACATAAATTATTTGAAGCAATTAAGGAACAAATATTAAAAATCAAATAAATACCTAAGACAGTGTTCTTCAGGTGAACAATGACATAATCTGTCCTTGTGAGTGATACATACCAATTTACCTAAATTAAATTTAACAAATAAGTTAAGAAATCAAAATTTATTTATTTAAATAAGAAATCTAATTTTCTACTTACTACTATTACAATTACAAGTAACTGCAGATAAAAAGCAAGTAGTTTTACAGTAATCACACTGTCTTTCATCATCAGGCAATAATTCAAATGCTTCTCGCTCAGCTTCGGTGACACCCTAACATGTTAAATATGTCAAAATTTAATATTAAAATTAAAAGTTCTCTTTTAAAATATAATTAATATAATTTTCTAGAAAATTTTATATATTTTTACCCATTCAAGAAGAGACTTTCTATACTCTCTTTCAGTTTCAACCATTTTTAACATATCTTGATAAGTTGCAGCAGCAAGACTAATATCCAATCTTTCTGGATCTGCTGCCATTTTGCATACCAATTCATCATGTGAAAACACACAAAACCGATGAAGCATACTGTAATGTGAAATACACACTCTTCCAATTGGTAACTATTAATTAAAAAAAAGTTTTTTTGAAACACTTTTGCTAGTTTATATCATATTAAATTAAAAGATTTTATGACAGCTGGCACAGCAGACTGAATTTAAAATATTTCATTTACAAGTTTCAATTATTCTAAAACAGATTTCAATCTAATATCTCAGCTTCCACTTAACACAAAACAAAAATCTATTTTGTTCCAAATCAAGTTCAGTCCATGAACTTTAAAAGTTTCAATCTTAACTAGAACAAATTAGATCTCAATAATAAATTCCCTGCAAAGTATAGATTTTGTATTTACAATCAACAGACCTATATAACATGAAGAACAATTTATAAGTGCACAGTACAGAACACAAATACATTTCTTGTCATAGTTTTTTTCTACTCTCCCAAAATCTTTGCAAAATGGACAGAACTTGTTTTGGGAATGAGCCATTACAAAGAAAAAAACAAAAATTGAATTATACAAACCCAATCAGCTGGTGCAAAATTAACAGCTTCAGCAAAGTTATAACCCTGATTAAACCCAGCATGATATGACCTGGGAAAAGTTATTACAAACTCTCCAGCATGTTGATTGGTTCTATAGATCTGGAAAAAATTATCTGTATGAGAATTAAATATAAATATGTTTTTTATTCATTATTTATAAAAATAATATTTCAGAATATCCAATAATCATAATTTTTCATTGGCCCGGAACACAATATCATCATATTAATAGAATTTATGTTTAAAAGACAAAATAAGTTATATTTTAAATGTTTTAATTATATTAAAATTTTAGTCACTAAAATTTATTTTAGCAATTCTCTACTAATTAAACTATGAAAAGTTCAACTGATTACACTTTGAAAATTCTCTTGTAAACATATATAAAATTACAATAGTACTAGAAATCCACAAATGTATGAATTTTAAAATACTAAATTCTATAAATTATAAAAAAACATACTTAACTAGCATTGTTTCATTATTTATAACCAAAGATTAAACATTAATTGTCAATGTCTGACTACTTGAGGACATTTAAAATCATAAAACACCACTAAATTAGATTGTTACATCAAAGGTACTTGATGGTTAAAACCATACTTGAAAAAATAAAGATAATAGAAAATTATAACATATAAAATAAAATTGTATATTTAAATATTTCATAAATTATGTTAACAGATTATATCTTTGTCATTTATTATAAAATGGATAAAATATCTACTTTCACTATATTTCACATTAATCAAAAATTAATTGAATTTATCTTTAATACTTATCCATCAAAATTATATATATTGTATTAATTTATTATTTAGCATTAACACTAATGTTTTAAAATTTTCCTTCAACAATCTATCAATTCTTTCACAATTAAAACTGAACACAGTTTATACAGATCAAAAACTTTAAATGAAAAACAGACATTTTTATAAATGAGTACCTTTTCCTTTTTCCATTTATTTGTTGTATGTAAAGACATACAATCAATGAGATGTAAATATACATCTAAATTAATTTTGATAACTTTTACATTATTATTTTGTAACTTATCAGGAATATCAGTTATTCAAATATTTCAGTTATAGTAATGCTTTTTCAGAGACTGTCAGAACAATTCATGTAAATACTAATTTTGTTGTTTGGCAATGAAAACCTCATAGATTATGGGGGGGAATTAAATATAAAAACTAATAAATTTAACTAAATTTAAACTGACTACCATTATTTAAGTAATGTTTGAATTCTTAACTTCAATTAGCCATTAACAATGAGACAATACTTGGTTCTTTAAAAGAAACAGTTGAATGCTTATGTTAAGTATGCTTTTACATATTATATTTTCTGATCAGTTTCCTCAAAATATTAGGATTCTATTATATTATCAAATTAAAATTTTATGGTATTCACTAATTCTATGAATAATTGAAAAAAATAACATACTGGAACACCAGCTGACATAAGAATGTTTGGATTCATTATAGTTACTAACTGATGCAATAAATCTGGTTGTGAACGAAATAATTCAGGAGCTGCTGATCTCATTGAATCTTCAAAGGCTTCAGCTTTATCTCCTGGTACACCATACCAAGTTTTCGGTTCGCCCCTAAAAATAAGTATTTTTACAGATTTATATAACAACACACACAATAATTACAGATATAACAACAAGGAGAATTACTAATTTATATATATTTTTAAAAATACGTTTCTTATTTTTTTGTTGTTTATATATAGGTAATTTTTATATCATTTCATTCCAAAATTTTATAAAAACAAAAATATAATATTATAAACAAATAATCACTTTTTCATATTTAAACAAACATACAAATTAATGTGTACATAAAAATGTTAATATAATTAAATATCAGTCAAATCTTCAAAATAAATTCATATCTGAATTATTATTATTATTATTTACATTCTTCATTATTTACAAATCACTATAATTTAAAGTTAATATACCAATGTAAATAGTTGATTGAATAGCTCCAATGATCTTCATTATGCCAGCAAAATGTTGCAAAACACATTCCTACATACGTCCAAGGAATCTGAAAGTAAGATAATTTATTTTTCTAACCATTACACTTTCATTTCCTTAGCAAAAAGAAAAAGTACAGTATTACTAATATTTAAAATATAAATAAAATTTATATCACAATGTATGNCAACTGGAATTCTTTCGGATAACCGACGTTTCGGATAAACGACGCTCTACTGTACTGCTGTTTTTCATAGTATTAAAGTTGAAATCATCCATAAATATAAACATTCAATCCAACAAACCAAAATTTTAATTAAAGTCAATATGCTGCCAGATTATCAAAAACATCTTCATTTGCTGTATTTTGTTCTTCTGAATCAAAAGTCTTTAGTCATATTCCTTAATTCTAATAAACTAAAACTAAATACTTTCAACACTAAAACTACAATAATCAACACTGGATTTGATGTTCACATCACCTGTCACAAAATCGTACTCAATGCTAATTAAAGCATTGAAAATGCAATATATCTTGAATAAGTGCAGCACAATTTTTCCGGGAATTTTCATCAACATACTTATGATGATACTGTAGTAGACTATGACAATGAGCTAAGCTGACCTTAAATATTTTCTATTATGAATGTTGGTCTAATAAGATCATTAAAACAAACAATGGAATTAGTGACAGAAAAATAAGATGCATGGCACTAGAGATAGATTCAATTATTATGCCAAAATTAGCTAAGGTGCACCCTATTTTAGAGATACTAATGCATGAAAAAAAGCACACCTTACATTCAAATAAAGTATTATATATAGGTATATCCAGTAATAACACAGGAAATCTTGTTGGAAGGTCACAACACTATACATTAATAGCATTACGTAGAAATTACAGGAACATGCACACATATGTATAGTGATACCTCGGTTTTCTTCGATAATTCACTGGTCAACAGCCAAAAAGTTTCTGAAACCAAAGTAGCTGAATATTACTAATTCAAAGGTGCTGAATATGAATATGACAATAAAAATATTAACTTGGTTCTAGTTTTTAAGATTTCGAACCAAATATGTCAAAGTTTTGGAAAAATTGCCATTTTTCTGTAGTTCTTGAAATGTATTCCTATACAACTTAAAGTACATTTTCTTGAATGTCTGTGGAAAGAAAAGAAAATCATTCTTATGACAGTTCTCAATGCAAATGAAGACTCTTCATTGACTCCTCCAAGGTAAGCCTTAAAGTTAAAATGTTACTGTTGTGTAACAAAAGCTTTCTATTCATATTGGCCATGCAAAGTACATGAAAGAATCATACAAAAGCATGAAGCAACTTCTTGCAAAAGTAAATTATCAAGAACATAAATGGAAGGTGTGTTGTAATTTCAAAGTTATAGCATTATTACTTGAACTTCAGCTGCTGTATACGAAGTACTGTTGTTTTCTCTGTGAGAGGGATAGCAGAGACCGAGTAACACATTTCATAAGGAGAGACTGACCATAAAGGAAATCCCTCGAACCTGGATCAAAAAATGTTATTTCTGAACTGTTAGTAAAATGCAGTTCAATCATACTACCATCATTGCATATAAAATTAGGACTTATGAAAAACTTTGTCAAAACCATGAATCGAAATGGCCTAGAATTTAGTTTTTTAGAGAGACATTTCCAAACATTAGTGAGGCAAAAGTTAGAGAAAATATTTGTAGGTCCACAGACTTCCAAGCTTCTAAAAAATACACACTTTGATAGCATTCTAATAGATGCTCGAAAAGAAGCTTAGAATGCTTTCAGGATGGTAGTAAACAATTTTCTTGGAAACCACAAAGCTTCTAATTACAAACAAGAAATTATAAATTACAAATAACATGCTGTTGTGTTATGAAAAGATGGGATGCAACATGTCATTGAAAATGCACAAATGCACTTTTTGCATCCTCACATTGACTTTTTCCCTGAAAACTGCAGGTCTGTCAGTGACAAACATGGGGAGCATTTTCACCAAGACATTGCTTGTATGGAAAAGGGATACCAAGGAAAATAGAGTCCGGCAATGTTAGCAGACTACTGCTGGAACATTACATGTGAAACACTTTCAGATTCATACAAGAAGTCTGTAAGTGTCATACATGCGAGTGATATTCTGGGTATTTTATGCTTTCGCTGTTTATTTAGTTTTTATGTATCAAAAAGTGTTCTGATGGTTTTTGTGTTCCAACTCTGATGAAAATTACATTATGTGTATATATTCAGATGTATATTATGCAATTTATTAGATGTTGATGTACCTTGTAAACTTGAGCTAATTCAGGTTTTTTATAACCATTTTTGAATTCAGCAAGTTAAAATCATTAAGAAACAGTCTGTAAGAAAGTTTTTACTTGTAGACCCGTGTAATCTGTCTGAAAACAACTGGCGAAATCCAAGACAATTATTTCCATATGAATCAATGTAAATCCAATTAATTTGTTCTAGACACTCCAAAATACACACCAAAACACATTTTATAGAGAATGAATATAGTGTTTAATACTAAAAACAATAAGAAATCAATATAAAATTAATATAAAAGCGGCCAATTTCAGCAATCTTAATGTTGCAATCATATTTTTCAATGAATGCCTTTTTCAAATCCATTGTGTTCCTGGCCTTCATTGAAGAGCTGTTGGCTCTGGAAACTTTCTTTCGCCCAATGATGGAGCAAAAAGGAAAGGAATGGAATCATTTGGCTCGAGGCATGAGGTAATACTGCTCACAAAACGAGAAACAATGCCACACTGAGCAGGAAATGCATGGGTTGCACTTGCACTTTGTTTTTACAAAATTAGCAGAGAGGTCATGTGGGTATGCTGACGAAATCTGAGGGAACTGACAAAAACCGAAACACAATAACCAAAGTCTATGAAAACCGAGGTATTACTGTATATATAATATAACCAAACTTAAGACTAAACTGCTGGATTCGTTTACAGGCTATTATCCTAGCTACTGACCCAGAAAGTTCAAATCCCATTCAAGATCAATATTTTATTTTAGAATTCTTGAAATTATTTAATTAAATTTGAAACTATATCTAATTGTTAATTTTTACACAAAAACATGGCTTCACTGCCACTCCTTAAAACATTCAGATATTTAATTAAAGATTACCTTTAATATAGCCTGAAAAATAATCCAGTAATTTAGGTTTAAATTTTGGTTCCAGAAAATACATAGACAAATGGTAAAATTACTGGAACAGAGACAACCAGAGATGAAATCAAAAAATAAAATTAATTAATCCATGCTCTACTTTTGACATATTATGAAAATAGTCACTTATTCTTTAATATCTGTAGAAATAGATTCATCTATTAAAGGATAAGAATTTTTTTTTTTTTTGGAAAAAATAAGAAGTGTATATTTACATATGGATCCTAAACCCATACCCTCTATATTACCTCAGGCAAGATTCAATAAACTAAACCATCCAGCAACTGTGTAAATGAGTCAAAATATTCATTTCATAATTTTAATTATTTTAATCTAATTAAATTTTAGCCTCTACCTGCAGAAAATGGAACTTTTCAAAATAAAAAAATTTTTTGAACCAAGCATTCTTAAGTTTAATAAAATTGTGCTTAAAGATAACCATTTGTGGCCAACACAGAATGGTCTTTGAAATTAATACTTTACTTTTGCTGTGAAAAAAAATGTTTGGTTTGTCATATTTTTGCTTAATTCTTATACAGAACAAGCAATTATTTTATTGTGACATTGTCACAATGCCAGGCTGCAGTTTTTAACCTGTTTAATTTAAAATATATGTTCTCCACTTCAAATTAGTAGTGTTTTGCCCTATACATACATTTCCTGTTAGCAATAGTGTTCTATTGCTAATAGGAAATGTATGAGGTATAGGGCATTGACATATATGATGTGCTGGACATATATCAAACTCTTTTCAGGGAAAATTTCTGAATTAAAATAGTGTGACTTCCAGTGCAAACTGAAGTTCATATATAGTTAATCGGGACCTCCAGACCTATGCTTTCCGTACCTGGTCCCAATTTTCATCTAACTCTGTTCTCAAGATTAAGGAAGAACAGACTGACTGGGAATTTACATCTACAATTTTTTTCAAAATGCATCCCAACAAGTTAACTTATTGGTGATTTTATAATTTTTCTCAACTGAGTAGATGGATGGAAACTAATAAAAACAAATTATTTTTCTTTTGGCAATCCAGGAAATGAGAGATAATTTTGACTGTAATAATCACCTCAAATAAACATGTGAAAATGAGATTCATAAATAACATTCATGAAAATCATTAGATTATAACTGTTATTAAGAATATCAATAAGAATATTAATATATTTAATATCAAAATATTTAAATCATTTAAATGTTTCTATATATGTAATTAAACTTACTTTAATAAGAACTGTTTCCTTTATTTCACAGGCAAGATTACATATCTTTTCATAAAATAACTGGAGATCTTCTAATGTCAATTGAGAACTGCATTTGTTTTCAGTTGACTGCCGATTTCTGAACAGGAAATGCATATACATAATTAAAATATATTTAAAGCTTGGATAATCTAGGCATAATTGCTATTACATTCTTATAATTTAAACAAATGCTTTGCAAATAATATTAAAATTTTATTCTAAAAACTCAAAAACAAAAATATTACAACTATATATTTTTTATTTCAATCAATAGAACAATGCACAAACAATGTAACTTTTTTTTACCATTAAGGACAAGAAAAAGCACTTGTAATGTCAAATGGCAAACTATAATAATATAAACTGCATATAACTGTGTTAAAAAAGTATTGTAAGTAAACTATGTAAATAAAATACGAAATATAATATAAAAGTACACAATAATTATGTCTTGCTTATTGTTAAATATATTATTTTACACAAAACTCTGCAAGCAAGGATTACTTAAATTCTTGATGTTCTTTGTTTCTATTAAAAATTAAAAAAAAAAACACATATATATTACTGATATTTCTAAACATATCAAATAAAATATTTTTGCAATTATAAATTGATAAGAATCAGTGAAAAAATGATAACTTAAAATAATTCATGTATTATCAGTAATGAATTCATTGCAAAAATTACAGAGGGGATATAATCTTTGTCTGAATATAAAATATAAACCATATTTTTAAAATTAAATAGTTTTTAAAAAAATACATTTTGCTTTTAAAATTCCATATTAAAATATATTGGTATTCATTAATAATTTTTTAATTGTGGAAAGAATTATTTCATTTTAAATATGAATTTGTTCATTTCACAAAAATCAGTAAGGTCCAATTTACTATGTGATTTGTAGTACTTATTTTTTATGTTTTACTTCAAATTTTTAAATATTCAAAAATATATAATTTGTGAGATATATTTTTAGATTATTTTAATAAATTTTTATTAATTGTTAAAGTAAATTTATATATCAGTACTGATATACATAAATATTCAAATCTCAGAAGAGATACTTGATATAAATTATGTCTATTGTATCTACACATATGGGTATAAACTGAATGTTTAAGTATAGAGACATTATAGAATTACTTCAAATATAATATGATTATGGGTGAAAATGGGTGCAGAATATTTCCAGAACTGAGAATTTAGACACACAAATTTTTCTGAAAATTGTTGCACACTAGTTAGCACACAAAATAATATTTTATAGTAACTATTATTAATCCCTTCATATAGTTTGAAATATTTTAATTAAATCATATAAAAAATAACCTATAGTATAATTTGCTGTGCAACACTAAAGTGATAAATTAATATAAAAATTGTTTTTAAATTAAAAGAACACTTTAAACATATATCATCATAGTATTATATACAATTGTAAACTTGATGTACTATGTTGATTAATGGAAATAAAATTGAAGTCAAACACAATGAATCTCATCACCATGTAATGCATTTTAATTCAAGCTCACATGAAATGTCATCCATTAAATAGTATTTCAAAGAGTTTTGAAATAAAAAGATTTAATTTTTTAAACTAAATCACAGCTTCAATTTTTATGAAAACTGCCTAGCAGACCTGACTTATTGTATATAACTGCAATTTAACAGATAAATTAACTGGTTAGAAACAAATTAAACAACAATAATTGCACTCCCTCCCTCCCTGCCATCCCTCACTACAAAAATCATTCTGTAGAATTGGGGAGTCATGATTTAAATCTGAACCAAATGCTATAGCCAATATTGCAACATAAAGACATTCATTTCAAACTTATTATGAGTGTGCACACTTAATTTTCTTTTCAGTTTTTAACCTACCACTTAGATACTTAACACTCAAATTTCATTTTCAAAATAGGATCTTCCTGCATTTTGGCAGATTTTTCCAATTAATGTCTATAGACTTTAAAACAGCAAGGATGCTGCTCTATTTTAGGGTTTCAGCTATTTTGATAATATTACTTTTCTACTGCAAATTTTTCCTGTACCGTGTTAGTGGATTTGGACATATTCTGCACCACTGCAATAGATAGATCATAATCAGTTTATTACATAAAAACAGATATGACTATCTCAATATTGATTGTATGCTGTGCCATTATGTTCTCAGAACTTGGAATAAAAAAATGCAGCTTATATTTGAGCTAGTAGTATATGTTGAATTAACTTACCTTGTTCTGACCTTACGACTTAACAACTGTTGTGCAACTGATGCGCATTTTTCAGCATCTTGAATTGCTGTTTCTAGTGCTACTAGCAAATCACTTTTTGGAAATTTCTTTTCTTCTGCTTCTTGAATGAGTTCCTTTAATTCTAAAATTTCTAATTATGGTAAGAAAAATTATTGTTAAGAAAAATAATATTTCTAAAATTAATAATAAAACTATCATGTATTAATGTATGTATTTTTATAGTTCTATGCCTCTAAATAACGAAAAATAATTCAGATGTTTTAAATGGCTAAGACAATAATGAAGCATCAGTGTGGATACTTCTATAATCGTGTTTTTTAAAACAATATAAGTGATAATATAGATATATTCAATGAAATAATCTTATTGAACAATCTAATCAGTGATGAAATTTGGAGGAATGCACAGCACCAGATATATATATGTATTGTAAATTGACAGCAAAGAATTTTACAATGATGATTCACAAAGAACTTTATATTTGCTTTTAAAGTTTGTAATTTTAATTAGAAAACTTACAGAATATGTTGAAATGTTAATTTATAGCAAAGAACATTAAATTCTACCTCAAACAAAAATTTTGGTTTGATATCTGCTGTATCACTAATTGNATTACCACTAGGGTGATATATGGAACTGCAACAACATAACAGTAATTAAAAAGCATCACAAAACATATGGCTATGAAACATCTGAAAAAAATTGTGTTGTGAAGAAATAGCCAACTTAGCAGACTTCAAGGCCAACTTTACACATCATGTCCACAATATCTTCAGAGAAACTATGTTCTGTGGTTGAATATGCTGTTTTGTGGTTTCAATACATCACAGACATTGGAGGACATCATACTGAACATGTTATTGCATAACCACAATGATATTGTTTCATACATTTTGTGATGCTTTTTAACTACTACTAGGGCAATATATGTATCACCCTAGCAGTAACTTTCAGAACTCATTTTTTTTTTCTGTACCAAATAAAATTCTATCACTGAACATGTCTTCATTTTAAATTTGAAGTCATTCAGCTATATAGTTCTCCAGTTATAGCTTTTCAAAACATGAACTGTAATTATGAACACATTGTATATGTTAGGATATGGGGGGAGTGTCTCGACTGCCGAAGGTGTTGGCGCGATAATCTCAAGAGAAGAGTTGATACAACATTGTGTGATAATGATTCGCTCTTGGAGGAAAATGCTACCTCAATTTAAGTGGAAGTATAACAAATGTCTTTCTCTGCTAGTAATATTATACCTATTGCTTATTTCTGGTATAGAANCAGCAGAGTTTTCAAGGTTGTATTTTATAGCATTGAAGTGTTCTTTAAAATGTATTTTTAATTTTCTTTTGATTTCATCAACATAAGTGTGGTTACATCTACAGGAAAACTTAAACCACATTGTTTTTCTCTGAAATGTTGATAACAGTATTATTGTTGCTTAATTATTTGTGGATTGCATTAGTATGGGCTGGTACAATATGTATATTAAATTGTTTGAATTTATTTTGAATCTTTTCCAAAAAATTTTTGATACAAGAAACCATACAGTATTTTGCTGGTGAACTAATGTTTTGGACTATGTATGGTGTTCTATTATCTAATCTACCTAGCCATTTTAATTAGGTGGTTTTGGTGTAATTATTTAACAAAAATAGTTTGATAATTTCATTTATTTTGGAATTTTGATCTGTTATATCTGTAGGTCTATTTTTAATTTTACTGATAATTTTACTGTTTTTCTTTATACATAAACGGGTCTCTGAGTTGTAATCTATAACTTTTTTAATGTTGCATTATTTAATAAAACTATTAATTTTATTAATTAGTCTAATGATTAATATGTCTAGGAAGGGTAATTGGTGGTTTCAAATGTTAATTGTGTGTTATGCCACCAGATAGTGTTGCAAATGTTCCATTCTTTCAACAATAATGTTGTCATTTCTTTTCACTCAACCCATTTACGTTAAAAAATCTTAAGAATGATCTGAACAATGATAACATAATACAGTAGTGCCTTGTATAACGTACGCCTCAAATAACAGATGCTGCGAACAATGGACTTTCTGTGAACAAGTGCGAATGATGTTTCCACACTTTTGCCGTTACCAATGACAATCTGCTATTTTTATAATATATTAGTATTATTAGAATATATTATTAGTATATCTGAAGTACAGAGCTCCCGTTGGGATTCGGATTGCTCCCTTGTTTATTACGTACATCACCTCAGTGCAGGGTATTTACATTTATTCAAGTGTTGTGCAAATCATGGCTTCTAAAAAACAGAAAGGTGATTTCAATTGAAACAAAGCAAGAAATCATCAGAAGGAGTGAAAGTTGACAAAAACTTCCTTGTCAAATGGGGAGAGGTTCAGGAGTTTACCAACACTCATTATCCAAACAGAGCTGAGGCCAACAGGATCAATGATCTCTACAATGACACCCTTGCCCGTCATTTCCGACAGGTGTTGAAGAAGAGAGAGAAACAGACCACCTTGGACATGTTTTTCAAGAAGCCAGCTGCCAAAAAACAAAGGATGGAACAAGAGGAGTTGACCCTGCAAGCTCCGGTAGCCTCTCCTGAATCTGACTCCGATTAAAAAACAATAAAAAGAGACCTGCTGCAATGTGTAAAAAGTCTGTATCTGTATGAATGTGTGAATAAAGTGATCATCCACCTCCTCCCCATAACATCTGACTACTCGGCATAATTGATGGCTGCTCCATTTTCATTTTTTTTATGGTACAGTACGGTTATTTTATGCTGCTGAACGAATTATATGTATTAACATGTATTTCTATGGGAAAATGCGTTTCGTATAACGGACTTTTCACTTAACAGACATGCACGGATTAAGTACGTTATATGAGGCACTACTGTACGGATTAAGTACGTTATATGAGGCACTACTGTAATTAGTTTTTATAATATTCATTAATCATTAATATAGAAACACATACATGAACAGCCATATTGAAATAATTTGATTTGAATTTATCAGCCATTTCACCAAATTCTTGAAGTGTATATTCACGTTGAGCCTGCTCAAATCCAAAAGCTTCCTGAGGTTTTCTAACTTCCTGTAATTATCATAACACAATAAATTTAATTTTCACTTAATTATAAATCACAAGATCTACACGGAAAAAATTTAATATTTAAATATCAACATATTTGAAATTCTAAAAAATGATTTTATTAAAGCAAACAATACATTCCTATATCAATAATTTATTTAAAATTATAATATGAGAAAATTACTTAAATTATTAGAGATATTTAAAAATTTTTTTACTATAAATAACTAAATCTTAAATCATAATTGATAGTCTGGCAGGGAAGTATAATGTTTTTCAGAATAATCTTACAGTTATTTGTTTATGAAAAAAAAATTTTATTTTTTGAATAGAAACAGAAATGTATACCATTTAATAATGTATAAAAAATAAAGAAAAGAGGACACATTAGGTTTGAAAAATATCATCCAAATGACATCCATCTTTGTCATTGCATTTCCATGGCCTTTTGGAGAAGCTCACCAGGATGCATGACTTAGATTGAATATAAATCCTCTTGGGTTGCAATCACCATAATGATTGTGTATCACTTGTCAGTTAATGCCATTTCTCAGTAACAATGGAGCCTGGAGCACTGTACATTGTACTTATTGTTGAAACATTTTTTCAAAGTGATGATTTAGTGATGCTCACTCAATGGAATTTTCAAACTCATTTTAATGTTGGATGTCATGACAGAATTTCGAGACTGAACATTATTCTGAAGTGGATCAAAAACCTAAGGACGACAGGTTCAGCACTGCCAAGGAAAACTTATGGAAGTGAACAAACTGTTTAGACTTGTAAAAACATTAAACTAGTGAGACAAGCTGTGGAGAATAGCCCTCACTGTTCAGCAATAAAACATGCTGACACTATACAGCTGTCAGAAAGATAAGTTAAGAACTTCACATTTAGAAGTAAATAAATAAATTTAGACCTAATCACCTATACAAGCATTAATTCAGCAAGCAATAGTCAACTTCTCCACAAACAGGAATGCATTGACAAAGATGAATGCCATTTGGCTGACATTTTCCAAATCTATTGGGCTCTTTTTCCTTTGTTTTTATTTATTTTTTTTTTACATTATCAGTTTCAACCATTTTTAACATATCTTGATAAGTTGCAGCAGCAAGACTAATATCCAATCTTTCTGGATCTGCTGCCATTTTGCATACCAATTCATCATGTGAAAACACACAAAACCGATGAAGCATACTGTAATGTGAAATACACACTCTTCCAATTGGTAACTATTAATTAAAAAAAAGTTTTTTTGAAACACTTTTGCTAGTTTATATCATATTAAATTAAAAGATTTTATGACAGCTGGCACAGCAGACTGAATTTAAAATATTTCATTTACAAGTTTCAATTATTCTAAAACAGATTTCAATCTAATATCTCAGCTTCCACTTAACACAAAACAAAAATCTATTTTGTTCCAAATCAAGTTCAGTCCATGAACTTTAAAAGTTTCAATCTTAACTAGAACAAATTAGATCTCAATAATAAATTCCCTGCAAAGTATAGATTTTGTATTTACAATCAACAGACCTATATAACATGAAGAACAATTTATAAGTGCACAGTACAGAACACAAATACATTTCTTGTCATAGTTTTTTTCTACTCTCCCAAAATCTTTGCAAAATGGACAGAACTTGTTTTGGGAATGAGCCATTACAAAGAAAAAAACAAAAATTGAATTATACAAACCCAATCAGCTGGTGCAAAATTAACAGCTTCAGCAAAGTTATAACCCTGATTAAACCCAGCATGATATGACCTGGGAAAAGTTATTACAAACTCTCCAGCATGTTGATTGGTTCTATAGATCTGGAAAAAATTATCTGTATGAGAATTAAATATAAATATGTTTTTTATTCATTATTTATAAAAATAATATTTCAGAATATCCAATAATCATAATTTTTCATTGGCCCGGAACACAATATCATCATATTAATAGAATTTATGTTTAAAAGACAAAATAAGTTATATTTTAAATGTTTTAATTATATTAAAATTTTAGTCACTAAAATTTATTNTATACATACATACATACATATGTATGTATGTATGTATACATACAACAATATATATGTATGTTTTAAAAAAAAATTGCTAGTAGATGTATATCTATATGCATGCACTTGAGTATAAATAAATGCAACAGCTTTATTTACAGCTTAAATAAACAAACAAAAGAATGTGATTTATATTATTTTCTTACTTTTTTAAAAATAAATATAACCAAATCCTGCACTAAAATAGTTAAATCAAGTTTCCATAATAAAAGCAAATACTAAATTTATTTTTAAAAATTATTTTTTTCAACTTCAAATTACAATAATCATTAATAATTATTTTTATTTTTTTGCCGAAGTTTTAGTTCAGAAATGAATAAGCAAGCATATTTTTTTATAAAAAGTTAGTAATTATCATTAGCTACTTATAAAGTTTTTGAGTTCAAGCTTCACTCACCTGGAGAAAACTTTCTAACATTAAGTATTAAATATTATCACAACCTTATTACTGAAAATTAAAATTTTCATTTGATAAAGATAAACATTTTAAAATTAACAGAATATCTTGCATCAATAATAAAAAAGATGCATAATGACTTAAATAAAAGCATATTAATTTTTTAATATAAATTTATAAAAAAATTTAAAAACTAAAAATTACAGTTAAACTGATGTTCTTGATAAAAACAAAATATCTCAAATGTTAAAAGTTTTGCATTATTTATACTTATTTTATTAATTAATTAAGTATAAACAGCACATTATTATTTTTGTTTATATTTTAAAGTATGTTTCAAACAAACATACTTTAATGTAAAAATTAAATTATATGCTGAATAAATTTCTATTAACATCAGTTATGTTCAGAATGAAAATATTTTTCATTTTTTAAAATAAATTTAATAAAGATTATATTTAAACTTAAAAATTACTACATTATTATAAATTAAAACATCAATTTTAAACTGTTTAAAAATTAAATATCTCGTTGACAATTTAAGTTTATAATCTAAACTGAAAACCTTTCTTTGATGAAAACTCTCTTAACATCAAAAAACTGCTTATATTTTATTGAATTTTACAAAACAATTTTTAAAAAAAGTTATTGAAGTTGTAAACGTTTTTGCATATTTGCCTGAGAATGTATAGTTTTATAAAAGCAAAATATACATAACAAATATATACAGTATATAAACTATGAACAGGTACCATTATATTTTGATGGGATTATTAAGTAACAGATTTATTTCAAAGTATTAATTTAACAATAAAATAATTATATTTTGATTTTAAAGATTAAACATATTATAAAAAAAAATTTTTTAAATAATTTTCTGGTTGCTACACTAATACTTTTGGCAGTAGTTTTTCAAGTTATAACAAAAATACTGAATACCAACAGCCAACACAAGTAAATCCATATAATCTACATAATTATCCCATCGAAAACATTTTCATATAATTTATTTTATTTGAAAATAAAAACACATAATGACAAATTTCAACTATTCATATTATAATACATATAAAATCAAACCACCATCCAAGCAAAGACTATTATAATTATTTAATACAAAAAGAAATAAGATGTTTTTCCATGCACAAAAATATCTTCAATTAATATCATCATTACTATTTCTCAAAATCAAACAAACAAAATTATAAATTTTCATTTGTGTCATGTTTTTTTGAAAAATCTATTTTTAATATTTTGATTATCTATTTTTTCTCGTATCTTATACACAAATAATTACATGCAATATCAGATTTTTATTGAAATCTTCAATTTTTAAATAAACGTAAGAAAATTTAGAGTAATGAAAATTATTTATTATACAATGCATCATCTGAATTTTAGAATTATGATATAACATTTATTAAAATATTTTTGTCATGAATTNCAGAACTCAAACTCACAATTCCTGCTTACCATTCAGTCACACTGCCAATTATGCTACCCAGGCTTCCATCTGATCTTCACTTCCAGAGATATTAAATAATTAATTTGGATATAACCATACTGATCACTCACAAATTGGAGACAACTTGCAAATATGGTCCTCCACAGCTTTATGATTATATCTAAATTAAAATCCATATAATCTACATAATTATCCCATCGAAAACATTTTCATATAATTTATTTTATTTGAAAATAAAAACACATAATGACAAATTTCAACTATTCATATTATAATACATATAAAATCAAACCACCATCCAAGCAAAGACTATTATAATTATTTAATACAAAAAGAAATAAGATGTTTTTCCATGCACAAAAATATCTTCAATTAATATCATCATTACTATTTCTCAAAATCAAACAAACAAAATTATAAATTTTCATTTGTGTCATGTTTTTTTGAAAAATCTATTTTTAATATTTTGATTATCTATTTTTTCTCGTATCTTATACACAAATAATTACATGCAATATCAGATTTTTATTGAAATCTTCAATTTTTAAATAAACGTAAGAAAATTTAGAGTAATGAAAATTATTTATTATACAATGCATCATCTGAATTTTAGAATTATGATATAACATTTATTAAAATATTTTTGTCATGAATTATTATAATGCTATTCCTAAACTTAATTTGCTGTAATTTCAAAAATTCATCTTGCTTTAATAAATTCAATATAAAGTATTCAAATTATTTTTGTTTAATGCATTTGTTTTTGCAATCTTATTATTTTAATTATATATATATACATACATACATATGTATGTATGTGTATATATATATATAACAGTATTTTTTTCTCAAAATTAAGAGGAAAAAAGTTATGCATGCATTAATATAAAATTTACTCACTCATCTTATTACTCCTATATGAACTGCACTTGAACAAATACAAACTCTAAAACCATCTAATGCAGTAAAACTTTCTTTATTCAAACATTATCATCATAAATGATCTTCAGGAAAAACCATATTTTAAAAGAACAAATGCTCTTTTCCCAAAGAAGACTGTTTAAGATGACTGAAAACATTTGAATAAAGAGAGTTTTACAGCATTAGATGGTTTTAGAGTTGTATTTATTTACTCATTTACTTCAAAATTGAAAACACAGTAGTGTTCTACTGTAAAATTAATAAACTATTCTTGCACATATTGTTTTTAAAAAATATTTTCATCTTAGTATTTTGAAATTAATAATTTTACAACTCCAACAAAATTAACAGTTTTCAAAACTAATTTTGAAGGTAATATAATAATATAACTAGAAAAACAAAGTTTAATATTTTAAACCAGACATATTCTGATACTGAAGATTGAGTGTCTTAACAAACATTTTAGACAGATAAAAATATCTGACCCCTTAAAGAAATTTGGATGTATAATTTCACTCAAGTGACAATTTTCTTCTGTAACAAAACTTTTTAAATCTAATTTTATTACATAAAATCAGTTATTTCTATTTTAAATATACATTCAATACAGATATAATAAATGAATCTGATCAATCAGTTCTTATAATAAAACAACTAAGATGTTCCCATTAAGTAGCATAAATTACAACTAACTTAATATGAACAACTAATATGAAATAAAATTANATAAATTCAATATAAAGTATTCAAATTATTTTTGTTTAATGCATTTGTTTTTGCAATCTTATTATTTTAATTATATATATATACATACATACATACATATGTATGTATGTATGTATGTGTATATATATATATAACAGTATTTTTTTCTCAAAATTAAGAGGAAAAAAGTTATGCATGCATTAATATAAAATTTACTCACTCATCTTATTACTCCTATATGAACTGCACTTGAACAAATACAAACTCTAAAACCATCTAATGCAGTAAAACTTTCTTTATTCAAACATTATCATCATAAATGATCTTCAGGAAAAACCATATTTTAAAAGAACAAATGCTCTTTTCCCAAAGAAGACTGTTTAAGATGACTGAAAACATTTGAATAAAGAGAGTTTTACAGCATTAGATGGTTTTAGAGTTGTATTTATTTACTCATTTACTTCAAAATTGAAAACACAGTAGTGTTCTACTGTAAAATTAATAAACTATTCTTGCACATATTGTTTTTAAAAAATATTTTCATCTTAGTATTTTGAAATTAATAATTTTACAACTCCAACAAAATTAACAGTTTTCAAAACTAATTTTGAAGGTAATATAATAATATAACTAGAAAAACAAAGTTTAATATTTTAAACCAGACATATTCTGATACTGAAGATTGAGTGTCTTAACAAACATTTTAGACAGATAAAAATATCTGACCCCTTAAAGAAATTTGGATGTATAATTTCACTCAAGTGACAATTTTCTTCTGTAACAAAACTTTTTAAATCTAATTTTATTACATAAAATCAGTTATTTCTATTTTAAATATACATTCAATACAGATATAATAAATGAATCTGATCAATCAGTTCTTATAATAAAACAACTAAGATGTTCCCATTAAGTAGCATAAATTACAACTAACTTAATATGAACAACTAATATGAAATAAAATTACAAGTTCAAAAATTAGGTAACACACAGAATAGTTGTCTAAAATCAGAAAACAGCATATGAAATTTTGATAGTTGTTTAATAGTGTGTGATTACTTAACAAAATTTAATAATACACATCTGACAAACTGAGACACTCAAAACATATACCATTTTTAAACAACAGATCATGAATATACTAATAAAGATTGTCTTGTTAAAAATAAACAGCAATAAAATATATCTTACTGGCATATCAAAATTATAATCAGCTGTTTAATATTAACAATGGACAGATGATAAGTCTCATAATAAGATG